TACAATCACTATGTATGTTGACTGTTGACAGACTCTCCAGTCTCAAAATGACAACGTCTTTAAAATTTGATGACATTGTGTCAACATGGATTTTAATGTCGTGCAGCGCACTCGTTTATAAAGTAAAGATCAGTAAAGATTAAGATTGAAAACTTTTTTCAATTTATGTGGTAGTAATCAAAAAAGAAGTTTTTTGCACATCGTTTGAAAAAGTGATGTGCAATTGTTTTCGTTTTAGCTAAAACGATGTGCAAATTACACATTGCACACCGTTAATTCGCACTCTGTTATATAATCGTATATCACTCGTATGTACTCGTATGTACTCGTATGTCAGTTGTATGTACTCGTATGTACTCGTATGTCAGTTGTATGTACTCGTATGTCAGTCGTATGTACTTGTATGTACTCGTATGTCACTCGTATGTACTCGTATGTAGTCTTTTGGTGTTTTAGTCACGATTAAAGTCGCCGTCGTTACATTTAGTGTTAAAAACCCATGATGGATTTTATGGAAAGTGTAACTAAAATAAAAATTCGTTTCAACCTTGATGAACGTAGTTTAATATGCCATTTTTGCATATAAGATTTGCCTGTAGAAATTAAATGTTTGCCCTGATCCTTGACTCCGTGTGCTCTTTGTTCTTTTCTGGTTTATTTCATCTGAAGCTTTCGCAGCAGTTTGCAGTGTTGTATAGAAGTGTAATTTATGTTTCGATTCATATGGTTAGTCTACTATTTAAATATGAATAAATATTAATTACAGTGGCATATTATGTTATTCGAGTACAAATAAGATGGAGAAAACGTAGATTACAATGTTGTGTGTAATGTCAACATTTTTTTATAAAATAGAGCATTTATAGATTACAGTGATGGCTATGCATTGTTCATTCAGCAAAATTTCACTGGAGGCTTTAGTTAGCACAAGTATATTTAGTTGTAAATGTAATATTGGTTTAAAATGGTTGTGAAATTAGTCACCATGAAGTGTTTTAAAACATGGTTTGGTTTTACTCTTGAATCCTAGTTTATGAAAAATGGGGCCAAAAGATGCAAGCAATTCTTAATTTATTATGTTGGAAAGTTTACTTATTAAAGTCAGCAAGGATTTTACTCCCATCGTGCAAATATTATGTTTTCACCCGTTATTTTCGTATATTTTTATATGGTGGGTCTCAATGCCGTTTGATTGTATTTAAATTAACATAAGAACAACGCTGTTTGTTAGAAATTTCTAAAGAATATTCAACTCCTACTCTAGCTGACATAACTCTGGCTTTTGCTAAAAAAAACTTTGGCTTCTCCTAAAAAGTTTACATGACCGAATATTCATGAAATTCGAAAGTAGAGAACGTTGTCCTTCTAGTGGTACTGATATTGACTGGTTTTCCAAATATTGTTACAACCAAATTTGCAACTTTTGCTTTACAGTACCTGTAACACGAAATTTTGCTAGTTAAATTATCTAACATGTGACGTCATATTGCATAATGAAGTTTCCATAATATTTTAAATACTCTTCAGTTTCTTGACAACTTTATATCTTATACCATTAACACGTCACAACAAAGGGAACTCTGTCCTTGTGAAGTAAAGTATCGTTAAATATACCTAATACTCCTAATTCTCATTATGCAATTTGACGTCACAAGTTAGATAAATCAGACAAAGCAAAAACCTCAATATGTCAAGAAATAAAAGTGATGTGCATAAACTGTTTTAGAATGTCCATTGTCATTTCAAAAGATCTCTTTAATAAAATTACAACTCGGATTGCCAATTTTTCGTGTCATGGGCACTTTAAGCGAAGAAAATGCTTTAGTTTATGTAAGACTTGTACTTCGATGAGAAACATCGCCTTGTCTTAGCATCACTTTATCGCAAACAAATTGTCGTTCTTGGACTATATATTTGTTAATACAATAAAGCGACATGTTATCTGTCATACAAAAAAAGCGCTATTTCTGTGAAAATTATCTTGTTCATTATTAATAACGTCGTATTTTTATCACACTTTTCCTAGTGTTAGGGAAAATAAAAATTGTTTAATAAATATACTATGTACAATTGGCAGTGATTTTGATTTTGATGAACAAAGACTTGAGAAACCACTGGTCAAATCCATAAACTGCAGTTTAAAGATTCTGAACAAAAACTAATGCTATAAATTTTCTTTTACCCCAGTCCTTAGCAAACTACTAAAGTCATTTATTTCTTAAGTAATTTACTATAATAATCAAAGGCTATAAGAACATTGAAGGTTTACATATTTAACTTTAAATATTCACTGTTCAAATTAATATTACAAAGTTTTGCTGAGTTATAATGATCTGATCATTTACAGAATATTTTGTACTTACACATAATTTTGCCCAAATGGTAAAACTTCAGCAAAAGCTCTACTTTGTGATTCATGCATTGAAGGAAGATATGTCCATGAAGAACTGCTTCCCATTTCGAAACACTCCACTGAATTAAGACCTTTAGTTTCATCATCCATACCTCCCATGACAACAATTGTATCACCAGTTATAACTGCACAACACCCACGTCTCTTTTCCAACATGGATGGTAAGACTGTAATGTTACCTGTATTACTGTCATACATGATAACACTGTTCAAATATTCTCTATCACCATAACCTCCAAGAAGAACAACTTGATCTCTCCATTGAACTGTTGCCATGTTAGTCAATGGATGAGGTAATGGAGGCATTTCCTTAATTGTAAGTGTCCTTGGATGAAACTCCAAAACACTGGACAAAACTTTCCAATCTTTTCCCTTTTTCTCTTCTCCATATCCTCCAAAAATAAGAACTTTATCATCAACAACAACAGCTCTATGGCACGAACGTGGTTCATGCATATGACACAACTCTTTTAAAACATGAGATGATGTACCAGTAATCTTTATTTCACTGATCAAATCTGATTTTCCTTTACCAGCAATGTATCCTCCAATGTGAAAGATTTGTTGTTTACAAACAACAGTTTGATGACTCCTACAATTATAAGGAAGCTCTGTGGGAAATTTTCTCCATGTCAAAGGTAACTGTTTTATATTCAATGTCTCCATTGACTTGCTGCCATAACCTCCAACAACAAATAAATTATCATTATAAATAAACGATGAAGCTTTGATGTGTTCATTTTCCATTGATGCAATCTTAAACCATTTCTTCTCCTTCCATGAAAATATTTCAGCAGTCTGAAAGGAACCAAGTGACCAACCCCCAGCAATCAAAATATCTTCTTTTCCTGAGTTCATCATTCCCTCAACTGATGATGGCAATGTTTTGACATGTTCATTTTTAGTCATCTTTCCCAATATTTGAAACATCATGACTTTCATTTCTTTCATTTCTTTGGTCACTGTAGAAAGATTTTGTTGAATATCTTTTATTTCTTTCCTTGTTTCCATCATTTCTTTGGTCACTGTAGAAAGATTTTGTTGAACATCTTTTGTTTCTTTCCTTGATTCCATCATTTCTTTGGTCACTGTAGAAAGATTTTGTTGAATATTTCTTATTTCTCCTTTGGATTCCATCATTTCTTCTTGTGATTTCGAGTTTTGGTTCGTCAGTGACTCCATTTTTCTAGTTATTACAGTCAGCTGCAATTTCTCTTGCTCCTCATGATCAAAACTTTGTTGAAACATTTCTTTTATCTCCGCAAAATCGTGAGAAGGAATCTTTCTATATTCACATAACTCAGTTTCATGTTTAATCTTGTCTCGTTTGTTTATCTCCTTGTCACAACGTTCATTAGAACACAACACTGGAGCAAAACCACAATTTTCAACATGTCGTTCAAGATCTTCAACATTTATAAATTCTTTGCAACCACGACCGGCGTAGTTGCAGCTGATTTTAAACTTTGAAATTAAGTTATTTATAACACGCGATGGAAGAAGTGTAGCTACAGTCAAATTATCTTGACATTGAGGACATCTTTGTGCATTAACTCGTAGATGTTCTTCAATACATTCACAACAAAAACTGTGTTGATTAAGGCACATTCTGGCATCTTTCATGACATTAAGGCAAATTGAACAGCGAAAATTTTCATCAACAGCATTCTTAAATCTCGATTCATCATATCCACATTCATAATCATTAGGACGATAAGCCATTTTATTCGTCTTCCCGTATGATTCAGTGTTATGATTAATTTAAGAAGTGACGAAATTATTTGTTTATCGCTACAAGTTAAAGCTAGAAGATACGTTGAAATTTGTAGTCAACGATTGATAAACACGGAAGTTTAAAGCGAAGAATAACAACGCCTAGTTTTTTATTTTAACATATTTGTGTAAAACATTATGAAGACAAAAAAGATGAAACAAAACAATGCAATGAAGCAGATCTACAAAAGACATGCATAAACAAAAATAGTTACGCAATTCGTACATGTGGTAAACTTCAGTTATGTGGCCACAAAGTGAAGTAGATTTATAAGCATAGTTTCGATAATATATAATAAATACAATTTTTGTCAAGATTGTGTTCAAGATTTTAAAATGTGTCGAATGCTTAGTCAAATGACTCAGTAACTCTTACTCTTAAACACTTTCTGCATCTATCGAACGCGTTCGCTCAAACCTCACATCATGGAAAGTGAAGAGTTCTTTAAGAGTTCTTACAAATTTGAACGATAAATGCATTGTCGTTTTCACTAATAACCATTTATTTGCAATAATACTTGTCTTAATTGTCTTTCAAAACAGTTTCCTAACTTACATGAGATGTCATTTATTCAACCGACAAATGAACACGTTTATGACTTGTGTATTGATTTACATACATACGACACTAGAATTAGTTGTATTACTTTTTTGTGTCATTGCGCTGTGCTTTTTGTTATTAATTTTTTTTAATAACCTTTTGAAAAGACTGTATTTTTGACGATTCTGTTCAAACAATGTTTAATCTGCGAAAGCGAATGCATCGCACATTTTAAGTGATTGAAAATAGTCAATTTTATTTCCTACTCTTATAGTTCGATGTTGTGTTGTCACTTTGACGTTATGTAAGTTTAAAAGATAATATTTGCTGTTATTTACTTTCTGCCTTTCATTCAACACACCAACAAAGTAAGCCTAGGTAAATGTAAACAATGCGAATAAAAGTGTTGAATTTGACTAAATTCAAGTAAAGTTCATTGTATTAAGTATAAGTTTCTCGTACTACCATTCCACAAACATGATAAAATTTATATTTTTGATCATTTGCATTGTCTACATTTGTATTATTTCTTGAGGATTTTATTGCTTACTTTTTATCATTTCTATCATTGTTTGATAACAATAAAATAGAGTATGTAAATGCTATTTGCTGATCTTGTAGACACATAAGGATGAACAATGGAAACTCTTTCTCGAGGGCTCCATGTTTGAGGATCATTTTAATGAACTCGAGAAGATTTGTGAAGAGGCTTATGGTGGCCACTGTGAGCTCTTTGATAATGAGTTTCTGAGGCCTATTTGCTAGTTACTTCTGGAACTAAGGACGTCAGCCAAGGTTTGTGTACCTAAAGATGTTTCTCTCTGTCGTAGGGTATATTGCTATTTCCATATGATCTTAATAACGCAAGATCAAAACGCATTTAAAGTAAATGACAAAATATTTTTGACATAAAATGTTTTGAATTTACTTTAAGAAATCTTCTCTACAAATGAACTAAAATATATCATACATATGAATTACCAATCTTTAATTCTTACTTAACTCTACTTCCATGTTTTGAGCTCTTGGAAAAATCAAATTCAAAACTTTCTGTCATGTATCCTTGTATATATTTGACAATGTAAAACATTTAGTTCATTCATATTGCTGATGACTTAATTTTAAGTCGAAACATGTTTATGTCAAAAAAATTTCTTATTTGCTTTAAATGCCGTGTATTGTTATATTTGCAATTTGGTCAATATATCAATATCAAATAAAAATATTGACTTTATATGAAAAATATTCTAATTGATGTGTTTATGAAAATGTACAGCAAATATACTTCATCACAAACAGCAAAATAAACAAGTTGTATTAAACTGATCATACTTCAAAAGGTTTAGAAATGTTGAAAGAGTGTGTTTATCTCTACAAACTGTGAACCAGCTGCATAGGTCTATAAACCATAGTACATATTTCATTTATTTCCAATTTTGATGTAAGTTTATCTCAGCAAACAATGAACTAGTTCTACTAAACCAGAGTACATACTCAATTTTAATCCAGTTTTGATCAGAGTGTATCTCTGTAGACTATAACTAGGTCTATTTAAGGCAAAATGCCTATTTAGTTTAATCCAGTTTCAATCAGAGTCTATCTCTGTAAACTATAAACTATTTGTATTAAACCAGAGAACTTATTCCATTTCATTCCAGTTTTGATCAGGGTTTATCTTTGTAAACAATTAACTTTGTGTACCGACATTATACCCATAAAAGCTCTCACTCCCTTTTCTTTGAATACGATGATTTTTTCTTCAACTGAGCAGAGATGCCTTCGTTGAATGGTGTTAATGGTATAAAATTCTGCTGGGACATTTGATCAAAAGTTTTCACGAAACTGACTGAAATACATATATTTGAAGGTTTAAGAGAATCATTATGCATTATGACGTCACTGGTTGTACAAAATAGCCAGTCTACCAAATTCAATGTCTTAAGAATAAAAAAGAACGTTGTTTTACGTAGATAGGTTACTGTCATTTTAAAAGTTTTTTTGAACGAAACTATAATTTATAAATCAAAATTTTCGCGTCATAAGCATTTTGAATTTTTCAAAAAATGTCATCGGGATTCTAAGAAAAGTCTTTGAATTTGATCACTCCTGCATTGTATGAACGTTCTGCTTTAAGTCCGAATTCTAACGCTTTTTTTCAGAGCAATATCATTATTTCACACCATTACCTGAAGTGACGTAGCGCTGTAACCAGTGACGTAGTCAGTGACGTAGTGCGGTAGCATGTGACGTTGTCGTTCTATTTAAATTTGAGAACTTTATTAGTTATCTTGTCATCGAACATTCATTGTTTTAGAAAGTAGTGAACGCCGAAAAAATACAGAGCATGAGTAAATAAGCTGACTGGTTACTGTCTACGTCGTACATATAGCAGGGATGATTGAGGGGTGTAGGGGTTAGAAAGGGTTTTAAGGGGGTGTACACATTTTATATGGTATAACATACAATATCTTTAGTGGCTGTCAATTGATCTTTTTTTGGTGTATGATTAGCATGATTTTGACCTACGTAAACTGATGCTACTGCTAATGTTGGAACGTATGCCATTTTTACAGTTTTATATGGTGAGGCGTAAGGATTTTTTGATATGTAGGACCACTGACTGGGTTGACATGTACTTTATGTTCACATGTCATTGTAAAAGTTTGGGATCGTAGAGATCGTCAACATTAATGATTTTTTGATATGTAGGACCACTGACTGGGTTGACATGTACTTTATGTTCACATGTCATTGTAAAAGTTTGAGATCGTAGAGATCGTCAACATTAATGATTTTATGATATGTAGGACCACTGACTGGGTTGACATGTACTTTATGTTCACATGTCATTGTAAAAGTTTAGGATCGTAGAGATCGTCAACATTAATGATTTTTTTGAGAAATATGAAACTGGCTTTAAACATGAAAGCAAAGGGTACGAGTTTCAAATTTATGTTGTATTTACATTCAAATATTTTACACCTTTTTATGTTTTTCAACTTTGAATTTATTCTGTAGTCTAATGCTTGTATTTTGTATCCTCATAGGAGATGCAACCAGGTAGCGTTCGCATTGCCTACATCCTCGAACGAAAAGATTCACATCTTTTGATGTTCAGCTGTGATAAACTAAAAGAAAAACTTAAATTTCAAGTGAGTTGGGGAGTGTTGGGGTAGGTGGGTGGAAAGACTCGTGTTGCCCTTTTGCGAAAAAGTTCATGAAAATTTCTGTTTTTAGTTCAAATTGATGTCGTCTTTTGATGATGTGCTATCTTCCATTTCAATGAATCAAATTCCCACGACCTTCGGCGGAAGCTTTGAGTACGATCATGATGCTTGGCTGCAGTTTTGATTTGTGAGAATTTTATCACGTTGCACGACTGTGTATTTTGTAGTAGATATCGGATTTACTTTTTTTTTAATTTTTTCTTGGCATTTTTTTGTTGCTCATACGTCAGTTTGGATATCGTTGTCAGAATTTGAAACAGGTTTAGTGAATTTTCATCATTTAGGTGTCCTGCAGTATAGATCTATTTGTGTAAAACCATCAACAGGTTTTGACCACTGGTACGACAGCTTGATAGCAATAACGATAATCATAAGAAAGTAAGACACCATATTTGTTGTATGAAAATTCCAGTAGTTGTAATCTATGTTGCATGAGTTTGTTTGCTATTTATTCCTTTCACAAACCGTTTGATTATTTAACAAATGATAAAAAAATCCATGATAATTCAATAATTGGGTTGTTGTGCCTCAAAATTAGGCAGATTTGAACATAACGTCTGGAGTGTAAGTTTGGAAATAAAAATTCATCATTTTTAGATTATTTATGATTGTTTTCCGAATAGTAATCAATTACAGGAAATGTGTAAGTGTATAAGTGTCTATAGCACGTTGTTTTTCAGTTTGTTTAAACCAATGCTGTAGAAGTGGGGGCGCTTGAGGGAGGAGCCTCCTTCTACCTTTGAAATGGGTAATTTATAAAGGGCACTATTGACAGAAACGTCAAGAGAGTCCCTCCCTCTGATAAATTTAATTCTACACGACTGGTTTAAACCTGTTAAAAAGCCGTTTTTAAGGTGCCGCATGCTAATCATCTTGTTCGATTTAATGGCTTTTGCTCTAACGCAAGTCGTTGTCTGTGTTTGATGCTGTAGTCAATGTTTTGTTTCGTTTGCTGGTGATGTTGATCACTTGGCAATGTGGTTGTTCTGTCTTCTTTCGTTGTTTCTCGTTTGTGTTCACTGTTTACTGTTTAGTGAGTTATGTATGTTTAAGATGCGTCGAGTTTTACCAATCTTCATTTACAAACGAAGACAACAGCAAATCTTTGCAATGTATTCATTAAGTCTTATACATGGACATGTTTGTACATGGACACCATGTTTGTACATGGACATCTCGAGAATTGTGCTGAGGTGCCTTTAATTGACGAAGCACGTATAAAGTGATGATCAAATAGTCTTTCACATTGGGCGTCAAGAATTCCTCATTATAACATCTCGTTTCAGAATTAGAGATATTTCTTTAAATTCAAATCTCTAACATGATTGTCACATTGCTGATAACCTTTTTTGTATTTTCGTTCAATGCAAAGTAAGCAGTTGGCCTGATGGAAAATACTGTCTTCCAATGTCCAGCAGCGGGCAATGTCCTGCAGGATGGAGGTCTGGTTATCGATTTCACGACATGGAAGATCACAAAGGTGGCCAAAACTATAGCAAGAAGATTTATGGTTGGGTGCCGAGAAATTCCTATTTGCACCGTAATCTCCAATGGGGCTTCTGCTGCAAGGGTGACTGCAGTCAGAATACCTACGTTCACCAGAACAACACGTGGCCTGCAGGATCGTATTGCATCTTCAGATGCGGAGGTACGTGTCCAAGGAATTTTCAACAAGGTGAGAAGCTCGTATGAAAATAATAAATCTCTAAATAACAATGTAATATGCAATTATTTTATGACTTTCAAACGTAATTTCCTTATTTATTTTGCAATTGTGTCATGATAAAATGTTCCATTTATATGGAGCATAAATCCTGACATCAATAAAATTCTTTTCTTTCTTCATCAGATTTGGTATTGTTTTACATAACTTAATTTATTCTATATCTGTATGATTTCATATTGTTTTAAACAACTGAATTTCCTTTATACGCACCATTACCATATGTGATGACTTGAATCCAAATCTATTTCACTACTTTCCTTTTTCATTGCGTTTTTAAATCTTTTGACTTTATCTCACAACAAATGATGAAACTGGGTTTGTCGAACATTTATCTTTTATCACGTTTCACGATTTTGTATTTTGATGCATACCGTTAACATTGTCATGTTTCTGAAACAATTTGTAATTGAATTTTAGACATGTCTATCACATTTTACATTGTACATTTGTTAATAAAATTTTAAAATTTGACACGTGTTGATAACATTGTACATTTTGACACATGTTAATTACTTTGTACATTTTGACACATTTCTAGTCTTTGCTGAAGATTCGTACATTCAGTAAATTGGACTGTAAGATGTTCAGCTATGACACAATTCATGTGATATGTTTTTCACTAACCTTCCTTGTGCGTGTGTACAATAGTTTGCCTTGATTACGTGCAGTCAAATCTCTCGAAGGATCGGATTAGGCTTTATTTCAATATGATTTGACGATTAGTTGACATAGATTTTTGTCTATTGAGTTTGTTTCTTTAACCGTTGTTGCTTCATAAAACAATTCTATATTCATCTATCCACACTTGTAAAAGGAAACCCTCTCTATTTGAATAAGGGAACTTCTCTTTTGCAAACTTGAATGGGGAGATTTTCTCTTATATAAATTTTGAATAGGAGGTCTCTCTAATATTTATCTTTGAAACCTGTATTTTTAGAAACAAGAACCCTTCATGACGGGTTGTCGTTGTGCAAGTAAGCTGGCTTTGACGGCAATAGATGAACTTGGAATAGGAAAATTTGGTGAAACGGTAAAAGAATGTCAGAGATTGCTCGAAGAACACGATAAAAAAGTGAGCGCCATCTTTTCAGACAGACGCCTCTCTGCGTTACAAGTCAAAGGTGAACAACTTGTGTCGGACATGCAGCAGACAGATAACTTGAAGAAAACACAAGACTGGAAATATACCATGGAAATTGTCTCGAAATTATATTTCAAAATGAATCAAATTTTCTCCAAGCTAGAAGTTTTGTATAGAAAACGAAAACGGGAGCTCGAGGATTGTCTACAGTTGAAATGCTTTCAAGAGGAATACGCTAAGGTATGAAATTATTAAGATGTTTGCCCAGTTTACTGGAAGACAGGGGCGGATCTAGATTATGTCAAATCCGTCGCGCGACTGATGTTTGAAACTCAAAAATTACCTATTCATATTAGTTAAAAATTCATTAATTATTCTTACTTTATTATCGCATTTACTTCGTGATAAAAATCCAGCTTTATTTATTATTGAAAACTAATGACTAATCCAATGAATATCTCCTTGGTAACCAGATCAGTTGAATTTTAATTGACCTGGAATAACCGACTGATAAGCGGGGTGGCTTGACTGGTTCGACATATAAAGGAGTCTAAGAACGCCAGAAACGCTATTTTATTGGTCAATGGCCAGATCAGTGGACAGTCTGGAATAATCTCGACCGATAATAGGGGTGGCCGGACCTATAAGGGAGTCCAATTGCTATCTTACAATTGGTTCATTTGAATTTTTGTCTTACTGTGATTGGTTTGACCTATTTCGACTGATAGCCAACTGAACTAACATAGTCAAGCTCACTGTCTGAATTGAATGTTTGATCGTTTCATAATAATTTTCTAAAGCATGATAGAAACTAAACTACAATCAGATGGAATTTATGGAAATCTTTTACAAATTCATATGTTGACATGAATGCTGCTTTACCAAACTGGGAATTTTTTCAAGAGGGCGAAAAATTTATGGATGAATTGTAAATGCTTGGCAAAGACGATCTCGCGAGCGACATTTCAGTCATTGATGTTCAAAAGAACGCCAACATTGTTTTGAGTTTTATCAGCAGAAATTTACATCCAAAATCGTAAGTAAAGGACAACTGAAGTGTATGCGTGAATGTAATATATCAAAGTCAATTTATGCGAGTGTGTGATGCGATTTATGTTAATATGGCGTATGGTAAGCATATAGATGCTTCTAAAATTGTTGTTGCCGAAGGACTTTTAGCTAGGATTTCTTTAGTGCTTAGGGAATCGTGACCGTATATGGCAGCGAAATCCTACATTCCTGCAAATATATTTCAATGGCCAAAAAATCTGTAGCCATAAGGCGCCATACTGTTATTACTTTATCATAAACAAATGTTTGGGACTTTTCAGTTTATGATCATTGATCATTCAATCATTAGACAGTTTGTTTAAGTTTTGAGAAAACTAACATTGATTACATGAGAAGCTGTTTACTATAACCTGTGATTTTGAGTCTTCTGATCCATGAAGCTTTTTATTTTGACAATTTGACTGGAATGGTATTAAACCTTAGTATTTCAGATACATGAAATGTTGTCCCATGTCACATATTGTCCCCTTTTCTAACTGAACACCTCATGTAGAGATGTAAAGTTGTGTTGATCTACGGCTCATACCAGATTGTTTGCCATAAATTCCAAAGGGCTATTGATGTATGAAAAGCATTTTCTATAAAGTAAAAATGTCTTCCTATGTATGCAGATAAACCTTGAAATTTGGCAAAACAGCAAAGTATTTTCATGATCACTAGGTAATTTTTCTGATGATCATTATAATTTCTAAACTAAATTATTTCAGATTTACATTTAAACGAGCTTTGATCATATGAAATGATATTTATCATAACCAGTAAGCATAACACATGAACCAATTTTAACATTCATGTAATTATATAATTAAAGACATGTTGGTTACATTCTGTTTGTAATTGATAATACAATGCTACTAGTGATTGCTATATAGCACACCTTGAAGAAGATAATAGTCAAGTGAAATGCCTAATAAACATTTATGGCATTCAGCTGTCCTTATCTGCAAATTTTCACTCTGATAATTTTTCTTAAGCTTTGGCAGAAAAAAATTTTGAGTTTTTCCTCAAAAGGTGAATTTGCTAATACTGATGTGGAGATGGGTAAAGGGTTACAATAAACTTGCATGGTTTGAAGTCTGAGCTTTTCTATATCTATGAACTGTCACTTGTAGTACCAAATTTCTAACTTAACTCATTACATAGAGGTTTGAATGGGGTCTCTAGGGGGGTCTATGCCTGACAACTTGGTAGAAATTTTTAAAGGCTATATCTGTTTTTGAATATAGCATTATTGTAAAATAAATTTTACGTTCCTAGACATGCTAATGAGCCATATATTTGGCATAATAATGAGCCTAAATATTTGGCAAAACATTCAAGTATTGTTCACTTCATTTTTTTTTGAAAAAACGTAACAAAATGTGTTGTATTTATGCAAAAACGATGCCCACAAAATACATTTTGTAATGCTCTGAAACGCTGAAAATGGCATTTTTAAGGCTCTGAAATTCAAAATTTCTCAGGAGAGAATGCCTCGGACCCCCCCTATATGCGGAGCGCCTCCGATGTTTTATGACTGATGTTTGAAAAATCCTAGATCCGCCCCTGCTGGAAGAGTTTTAATACCAAAATATACAATATATTTGCCGTTGTTATAAAGTAAACTGAAATAATATAAGTGAATTTGCACTTTGTCTTTTCAAAAACTGTTACTCTGCTTCAAATCTTTTTGATCTCATGTGCGAGTGGGCCTCAATGGCGTTTGATTGTATTCAAATTAACATAAGAACAACGCTGTTTGTTAGAAATTTCTAAAGAATATTTAACTCCTACTCAAGCTGACATAACTCTGGCTTTTTCTAAAAAAAACACTGGCTTCTCCTAAAAAGTTTACATGACCAAATATTCAAGAAATTCGAAAGTAGAGAATATTGTCCTTCTAGTGGTACTGATATTGACTGGTTTTCCAAACATTGTTACAAACAAATTTCCAACTTTTGCTTTAAATTGCCTGTAACATGAAATTTTGCTAGTTAAATTATGTTTGCAATGAATAGAACTTTTGAAATGACGTTGTACTTTCTAAAACAGTTAATGCATATCTCTTTTCCTTCCCAAGATATTGAAGTTTTTGTTATTTTCATTTTATCTAACTTGTGACGTCATATTGCATAATGAGTTCCCACAATGTTTTAAATATTCTTCAGTTTCCTGACAACTTTATATCTTATACCATTAACCATATCACAACAAAGGGAACTCTGTCCTTGTGAAGTAAAGTATCGTTAAATATACCGAATACTCCTAGTTCTCATTATGCAATTTGACGTCACAAGTTAGATAAATTGGACAAAACAAAAACCTCAATATCTCAAGAACTAAAAGTGATGTGCATAAACTGTTTTAGAATGTCCATTGTCATTTCAAAAGATCTCTTCAAGAAAAGTACAACTCAGATTGCAAATTTTTCGTGTCATGGGCACTTTAAGCGAAGAAAATGCTTTAGTTTATGTAAGAATTGTACTTTGATGAGAAACATCGCCTTGTCTCAGCATCACTTTATCGCAAACAAATTGTCGTTCTTGGACTATATAATTGTCAATACAATAAAGCAACATGTTATCTGTCATACAAAAAAAGCGCTATTTCTGTGAAAATTTTGAAACAATAACGTCGTATTTTTATCACACTTTTCTTCTTGTTAGGGAAAATAAAAATTCTTTAATAAATAAGCTATGTACATTTGGCAGTGATTTCGATTTTGATTAATAAAGACTTGACAAAACAACCGGTCAAATCCATACACTGCAGTTTAAAGATTCTGAACAAAAACTAATGCTATAAATTTTCTTTTACCTCAGTCTTTAGTAAAATACTAAAGTCATTTATTCTTCAGTAATTTACTATAAAAATCAAAAGTTATAAGAGCATTGAAGGTTTACATATTTAACTTTAAATATTCACTGTTTAACTTAATATTAAAAAGTTTTGCTGAGTTATAATGATCTGACTATTTACAGAATATTTTGTGCTTATACATAATTTTGCCCAAAAGGTAAAACTTCAGCAATAGCTTTATCTCGTGATTCATTCATTGAAGGAAGATATGTCCATGAAGAACTACTTGCCATTTTGAAACACTCCACTGATTTAAGATGTTCACCTTTATTATTCTGACCTCCCATGACAACAATTGTATCATCTGTTATAACTGCACAACACCATAATCTCTTTTCCAACATGGATGGTAAGACTGTAATCTTACCTGTATTGCATTCATACATGATAACACTGTTCAAGTATTTTCTTCCATCATAACCTCCAAGAACAACAACTTGATTTCTCCATTGAACTGCTGCCATGTTTGTCAATGGATGAGGTAATGGAGGCATTTCCTTAAATGTAAGAGTCCTTGGATCAAACTCCAAAACACTGGATGAAGCTTTGTAATCTTTTCTATGCCCTCCAAAAATAAGAACTTTATCATCAACAACAACAGCTCCATGCTGCTGTCGTGGTTCAGGCATATGACACAACTCTTTTAAAACATGAGATTTGGTACCAGTAATCTTTATTTCACTGATTAGATCAGAATTTGTGAATTTATCACCATTATACCCTCCAATGAGAAGAATTTGTTGTTTATAAACAACAGTTTGATGACCATAACATTTATAAGGAAGCTCTGCAGGAAATTTTCTCCATGTCAAAGGTAACTGATTTATATTCAATGTCTCCATTGACTTGCATTCATATCCTCCAACAACAAATAAATTATCATTATAAATAAATGATGAAGCATAGTCATGATCATCTTTCATTGATGCAATCTTAAACCATTTCTTTTCCTTCCAAGAAAATATTTCAGCACTCTTTTTGGAACCAGACAAGTAACCACCAGCAATCAAAATATCTTCTTTTCCTGAGTTCACCATTCCCTCAATTGATGATCGCAATGTTTTGACATGTTCATTTTTAGTCATCTTTCCCAATATTTGAAACATCATGGCTTTCATTTCTTTCATTTCTTTGGTCACTGTAGAAAGGTTTTGTTGAACGTCTTTTATTTTTTTACTTGATTCCATCATTTCTCTGATCACTGTAGATAGATTTTGTTGAATGTTTCTAATTTCTCCTTTTGATTCCATCATTTCTTTCTGTAATTTCGAGTTTTGGTTCGTCAGTGACTCCATTTTTCTAGTTATTTCAGTCAGCTGCATTTTCTCTTGCTCCTCATAATCAAAACTTCGTTGAAACATGTCTCCAATCTCCTTAAAGTCGTGAGAAGGAATCTTTCTGTATTCACATAACTCAGTTTCATGTTTAATCTTGTCTCGTTTGTTTATTTCCTTGTCACAACTTTCATTAGAACACAACACTGGAGCAAAACCACAATTTTCAACATGTCGTTCAAGATCTTCAACGTTGCTAAATTCTGGACAACCACGATTAGCGTAGTCGCAGCTTATCTTAAACTTTGAAATCAAGTTGTTTACAAAACGCGCTGGATGAAGTTTGGTTACAGTCAAATTATCTTGACATTGAGGACACGTTTGTCCATTAACTCGTAGATGTTCTTCAATACATTCACGACAAAAGATGTGTTCGTTATGTTGACACATTCTTGCGTCTTTAACTACGTTAAGACAAATTGCACAGCGAAAATTTTCATCAACAGCATTCTTAAATCTCGATTCATCATAGCCACATTCATAATCTTTAGGACGATAAGCCATTTCATTCGTTTTCCCGTATAATTCAGTGTTAAGATTAATTTAAGATGCGACGAAATTATTTGTTTATCGCTACAACACAGAATAAGGATTGTAACAAAAGCGCCACCTGATGTCGGAACCTTGATGTTTGTGTCCCCTGTATTGAGCTCTGCAATCCGGGTATTTTAAACGGCGGCCCTCTTTCCAGGCAGATGAGTGCAGCCAGAACGTAATATAATATAGAGTTCTACGGAAGGGTTTGGGCAAATTAACCCAAATATTTCTATAGATTGGTCATTTTTTAATATTTTTTGTGTGGATACAGTTAACATATCAAGCTTTCAACAATTTATCCATTAATTCGACGTCCGTTTTGATAAATGATGGTTTATTCGGAATATTTTCAAAGTAGATATGTATCTGACGAGATGTGTACTCGGTATATGGTTTGTCGTCTGTTTTAATTTTATTATATAAGAATAGACCTTTTTAAGGTTATCGTAGCCATATTGCAGGGGGTGCAAAAACATTTGGCCGAGCGCGCGGTCACGCATGGCGTCCATATAAATTACTAATAAATGCGCAAAAATTACCCTTATACATATTGGGAATTTCTTTCAAATATATTTCTCAAACTAGTCCTTTTTAATAGTCGAATTATTATTTGCGATTTTTTATACATGTGAGTCCACTTTTGTGGTAATCAAAAAGCGGAAAGCTAAAGAAAACATTTGTTTTCTTTGAACAACTTGATCGTCGTTTGAGCGATGTTCTTGAGTTCGTAACACACGCACATGTCTACTATTTATTACCTTTGTTAAAGAAGTTTGGTTGAATTTAGTTTCGTTTACAAACCAAATTTTGGGTTGTGTGTGGATTGTTTAAAAGTGATATATTTTTTGCTTGTGTTTGTTTTGGGTTGAGAATCTGTAAATATGTCGTTTATAATGTGCCGGTAATTGTTGAGATCTGTTCGGTGAGCTTTGTTCCAAGTTTGTATACCAACTTTGTAACGTAAGTCGTTGTCTGTAGTTTGTGCTGTAAGTAGCTAATGCGTTTTGCAGAGTCCAGCCAATGTTAAGTTTTGTCATTCAGCGATGTTTGGAAATGTGTTTATAGTAAACCTTTTTGTTCAGGAAGTATTTTTGAAGCTAGTGCCAGTCTTATGAATAAAGTACCCCATCGTTCGGAGCAGTTTATTTTATAAGCTGTTTCTTCTCACTACTTTGGTTGTTTACTTCTGTCAGTACATGTTGTGAATAACAAAATAAATAGTTATAATGTGCAACACATATATGTTCTTGCTTTTCACAAATTCAAAAAAAAAGATCAAATAAAAGGCATACTAGTTTATATTATTCCTCGAAAGCAAGCAATAGAATTTCCAAAAAAAGTGAAAGTACACAGGATGTCTCAAAAACTTGAAACCCTTTAAAATCACTCGACACTCGGAATTGCATGATTCAGCATGAATTAATCGCCGAGAATGAACAAATGCTATTTACTGGAATTTTATGCTAAGGCTTTGCAGGGTGAAGTAACGGCAATTCTTATGTTCTCATTAAAAATATTTTTTCAGTTTATTAAACGCTTAAATAATGTGAGTTTACTAGCACAATAAATACTCCCTGTAGTGCACGTGTCTTGTGGTTAATTGTAATCGAACTGGTGATAGCTATAAGTTATGGAATATGCACTTCCTTATTTTAATTGGACGACGTACGGATTTGGAAAATAGTTTAAAATTCCAGGAGTGTAATTGGTGTCATACTAAAGAAAATTTTGAACATTAATTTTTAGAATGGAATTTATCAGTCAGAAATGAAACAGGAAAAGCAAACGTTGCAATGAAAGAATAAGATGATAATTCGTAAGCCTGGCCAGGTTTAAGTTTCATTTAATAAATATAAGGTGTTTACATTGTGTGTTTGCACAGGCTTATTCAAACGGAGTGTTCTTTGGGAGAACTCGAGAGCAGATCAGTTCAAACCGAAGACCGAAGGTCTACTCCCATTTTTTCACAACCTCAAATAAACAAACAAATAGAAGCGTACTACTATGAACTTTTTCTCGAAAAATAACCGACTACTAGGTGTCCCAAAAAAGAGCCACTATAAAGAATACATAATGCACCAAAAATACTGCGACATCGTGATTTGCATAGCAGCCATCGCCTTTTACTCAGTCAGCTCATTGCCATTTTAATAGGAGTTTGCAATGCTTGAACAAGTTGTTCGTTTTTATTCATCTTTTCCAACATTTGAAACATCACGACTTTCACTTCTTCTATTTTTTAGTCATTGCAGAGAGATTTTGTTAAACATCTTTTATTTCTTTCCTTGACTCCATCATTTCTTTCGTAGGTACAGAAACAAAAACTGTGATGAACATTGATCGAAAGGAAAATATGTTTGTGGGTAGAACTATACTGTAGAAGGGTGTCTGCTTTGTGTAAATTTAATATCTGACAGCTGTCATCTCACATCATGCGATTTTTCAGCATAGTAGATTTCAGATTTGCTTTAATGGCGAATAACTTGTTCGTCTTTGTTCATTGCTCATACGATGGTTTGGATGCTGATACATTTATTGGCCGGATGACATTCCATTCAGAAGTTCAGAAACAACCTCGTGACGTATGAATCAGACAACAAATACGGAAAAGCTGACATTAACTTTTCACTTGACTCTTAAGTTCACTAACGCTTAGGATGTCAAAACGTATAACAGTAACATAAACATTTCTTTCCAGGACTGCCGTAACATTGATGATCTATATGTATGTGAAAAATTGAAAATATTATATTTCGGATCGAACTTGTGTTGAGGTGTTTTTAAAGAGAGTTTGTTGTGCTCTAATCTACATTCTACGAATTGTCTTTCAGTATGGTAGGTAGTGTAATGACTGTTCTCATTCTTTGTTGTTCATTCATCACTACCTACACTGACACACGTTGTCTTAGCTTATATTTTACGTAGTTTAGACTCTTCTCGTTCTCTATTGTTTATTCATCACTACCTACACTGACACACGTTGTCGTAGCTTATATTTTACGTAGTTTAGACTCTTCTCGTTCTCTATTGTTTATTCATCACTACCTACACTGAAACACGTTGTCTTAGCTTATATTTTACGTAGTTTAGACTCTTCTCGTTCTTTATTGTTTATTCATCACTACCTACACTGAAACACGTTGTCTTAGCTTATATTTTACGTAGTTTAGACTCTTCTCGTTCTCTATTGTTTATTCATCACTACCTACACTGACACACGTTGTCGTAGCTTATATTTTACGTAGTTTAGACTCTTCTCGTTCTCTATTGTTTATTCATCACTACCTACACTGAAACACGTTGTCTTAGCTTATATTTTACGTAGTTTAGACTCTTCTCGTTCTCTATTGTTTATTCATCACTACCTACACTGACACACGTTGTCGTAGCTTATATTTTACGTAGTTTAGACTCTTCTCGTTCTCTATTGTTTATTCATCACTACCTACACTGACACACGTTGTCGTAGCTTATATTTTACGTAGTTTAGACTCTTCTCGTTCTCTATTGTTTATTCATCACTACCTACACTGAAACACGTTGTCTTAGCTTATATTTTACGTAGTTTAGACTCGTTCTCTATTGTTTATTCATCACTACCTACACTGACACACGTTGTCGTAGCTTATATTTTACGTAGTTTAGACTCTTCTCGTTCTCTATTGTTTATTCATCCCACCTACACGAGCTCACGTTATTTTAGCTTATATTTTACGTAGTTTAAAGACTCTTCTCTCCTTTCTCTCACGTTATTTTAGCTTATATTTTACGTAGTTTAAAGACTCTTCTCTTCACATTATTTTTTTTAAAGACTCCTATTTATTATTTTTTTATTTTTAGACTCTTCTCTATTGTTTATTCATCCACCTTTCACGTTATTTTAGCTTATATTTTACGTAGTTTAGACTCTTCTCGTTCTCTATTGTTTATTCATCCCACCTACACGAGCTCACGTTATTTTAGCTTATATTTTACGTAGTTTAAAGACTCTTCTCTTTCTCTATTGCTCATTCATCACTACCTACACGAGCTCACGTTATTTTAGCTTATATTTTACGTAGTTTAAAGACTCTTCTCTTTCTCTATTGCTCATTCATCCCACCTACACGAGCTCTATTTTATTTTATTTTACTCTTTCTCTATTGCTCATTCATCCCACCTACACGAGCTCACGTTATTTTAGCTTATATTTTACGTAGTTTAGACTCTTCTCGTTCTCTATTGTTCATTCATCACTACCTACACGAGCTCACGTTATTTTAGCTTATATTTTAGATAGTGTGAAGACTTTTCTCGTTCTCTTTTGTCTATTCATCTCCACATACATGAACACGCGTTAACTTTGTTTATAATTTGGGCAGTGTAAAGACTGCTAGCTCTTGTTCTCTGTTGTTCATTTACCACTACCTAATCTGACACAAGTTATTTTACTTTATGTAGTGTAAAGACTGTTTTCGTTCTCTGTTGTTTATCTTTAACCTTTAAATATTTTAAAATGTGAGAAGAAAATGCTAAGTAGCGCACATTTGCATCATACTGTTTTGATTGAAAGGTTTAAGACATTCAGCACATCATGAAAACCTAAAAATCTCCTTTGCTCAAGTGTGGAAACTTTTTCATGTATAAACGATCTAATTTTATAATCAAAATACACTGTAATCTTCCTCACAGAATGTATTATGATTTTTCAAAAGCAGGCATTTTTTAGAATATCATCTATTTTAGTCGAATGCATGCTGAATCGGATGGTAAAGTTAAATGAGTTGCATAGAAAAACTATTTACTTGTTATTGATATTCGTCAGAGGAATTTTTAATTACTAATCTTTAAAATACATTCAAGCTTTGACTTTAACAAACTAGATAGTCAACGCATAATGACTATATTTGTTTGTGCACCTTTTAAAAAAATATGTGAGGTGTTTACGTTTTGTGACCGTAATCTCTTTGTAGTGTTTCGATAGAAAAGACCTGCGTTCTTCAATGTCTAGTTGCGTCAAATAACAAGAAATTGAATAAGTTGACACATTTTGTTTTTACACATTTGCATAAACACGGAGAAGTGTAGCTTTGTGGAATTATTATACAAAAAAATAGAGACTTGTCGTGGTGACAAATCTGAAAATCGTTTTAAAGATAGCAAATACCATGGGGAGTGGTAAAAGTAATAAGTTAATAGTTCTTAAAAGATATGGTATTTGCGATGTTTAATTACTATACTACAGATTGTCTCGATATGTAAAAGTACTGTGTAGATTTCACCCAATCGAGCAACGATACCACAAACAATTATAGTATTGTCAATAAAATTTATTCTTGGCGGTACAAAAAATCATTTGAACTGTCATTTGTTAATCATAGACCAATTTTGCTTAACGATTTTATGCATATACCAAGACAAAAAACTATAATAATCACCGATCGTATGAAGGAAATGTCTAAGTTAACGGTAGTGTGTTTTGTGTAAATTTCTGACAACAATCCTTTCTGTCATATTCTATCATCTCATTGTAGATTTCGGATTTAGTTTTTTTTATTTCTTCTTGGCATTTTTTCATCGCTATTACGTCAGTTTGGATATCGTAGTCGGAATTTGAAACAGGTTTAGTGAATTTTCATCATTTAGGTGCCCTGCAGTATACATCTGTTTGTGTAAAACCATCAACAAGTTTTGACCACTGGTACGACAGCTTGATAGCAATAACAATAATTATAAGAAATTAAGACACCATATTTGTTGTATAAAAAGTCCAGTAGTTGTAATCTATGTTGCATGAGTTTGTTTGCCATTTATTCCTTTCACAAACCGTTTGATTATTTAACAAATGATAAAAAAATCCATGATAACTCAATAATTGGGTTCTTGTGCACCAAAATAAGGCAGATTTGAACAGAATATCTGGAGTGAAAGTTTGGAAATAAAAATTCATCATTTCTAGATTTTTTATTAATGTTTTCCGAATATTGATCAATTACAGGAAATGTGTAAGTGTCTATAGTACGTTGTTTTCCAGTTCGTTTAAACCTGTTAAAAAGCCGTTTGTAAGGTGCCGCATGGTAATCGTCTTGTTAGATTTAATGGTTTTTGCTCTAACGCAAGTCGTTGTCATTGTTTGATGCTGTAGTCAATGCTTTGTTTCGTTTGCTGGTGATGTTGATCACTCGACAATGTGGTTGTTCTGTCTTCTTTCGTTGTTGCTCGTTTGTGTTCACTGTTTATTGAGTTATGCATGTTTATAATGCGTGGAGTTTTACCAATCTTCATTTACAAACGAAGACAAATGCAAATCTTTGCAATGTATTCATCAACTCTCAGACTCAGCATGTTTGTACACGAATGCATTGACATTTCAAGTATTGTGGTGAAGCGCCTGTAATTGACGAAGCACATATAAAGTGATGATCAAATAGTCTTTCACATTGGGCGTCAAGAATTCTTCATTATAACATCTCGTTTCAGAATTAAAGATATTTCTTTAAATTCAAATCTCTAACATGATTGTCACATTGCTGATAACCTTTCTTTGTATTTTTGTTCAATGCAAAGCACGCAGTTGGCCTGATGGAAAATACTGTCTTCCAATGCCCAGCAGCGGGCAATGTCCTGCAGGATGGAGGTCTGGTTATCGATTTCACGACATGGAAGATCACAAAGGTGGCCAATACTATAGCAAGAAGATTTATGGCTCGGTGCCGAGAAATTCTTATTTGCCCCGTAATCTCCAATGGGGCTTCTGCTGCAAGGGTGACTGCAGTCAGAATACCTACGTTCACCAGAAAAACACGTGGCCTGCAGGATCGTATTGCATCTTCAGATGCGGTGGTACGTGTCCAAGGAATTTTTAACAAGGTGAGAAGCTTGTATGAAAATAATAAATGTCTAAATAACAATGTAATATGCAATTATTTTATGACATTAAAACGTAATTTCCTTATTTATTTTGCAAATGTGTCATGATAAAATGTTCCATTTATATGGAGCATAAATCCAGACATCAATAAAATTCTCTTCTTTCCTCATCAGAGTTGGTATTGTTTTACATAACTTAATTTATTCTATATCTGTATGATTTCATATTGTTTTAAACAACTGAATTTTCTTTATACGCACCATTACCACATGTGATGACTTGAATCCAAATTTATTTCACTACTTTTCCTTTTACATTGCGCTTTTGCATATTTTTGACTGTATCTCACAACAAAAGATGAAACTGGGTTTGTCGAACATTTATCTTTAATGTTACAATGGCATGCAATGATAGTTTAGAAACTACAATTTTTTCACACAAGCTACATTCGTTGGGACGATGAAGACAATAAAAACCAAAATAGAAAAGGGGGAACGGTTCCAGACGGATCTTACGATAGAAATGCCAAAATATATTTCTGTTGTCGTCATGATGGCAGTAGCCACCGTCTACAAGGTCTACCCAAGTGTGCTCAAATGATCCTCATGCGGTACGAAGGAGCTTGCTTTACAATTGCTGGTTATTCATTGCCTAGAACTGGATTCTTACAATGGGACACGGAGGACAACAATAATAAAGATCAACATGTCGGCGCATATCCTGATGGTCAGAGGACATTTCACACTGGCATAAAGATTGAATTTTGCACATACACCTCAAATGGCAGATGTTGACTTTCCTTATAAAAAGCCTTTTATACAATTTATTCGTACGAATCATAGAATAGGACGCTTGTCATCTTTCTGGGTGTTTTCCGAAGCATTTTCGAGAGCAACCCCAGTATGTAGTATTTAGTCGAAAACAAAACAGGCTTATAATCCATGTATCAGCTTAGAATATACAATAAAATGTTCAGTCGTTACGCTATTTGTATCAATATGAACATTATTTGCCTTAAAGAATGCAGTCAATGATAGACAAATAATGAGGACATTAAAAAGGGCGGTCATGCCGCGCAATTCTAAAACTCCAAATCCGTAATTTAGCGATGATGCACCGTACACATTTCACCCTATATCGAGCACCACTACTTTTTTTCAGTTGAGTTTTATTTGGTTCAGTGATTGTTGCAGAAAAATAAAAATTGTTGGAAGGTGAAGGGATAGAAATGACTAGCTGTTATACTGCGAAATATGCATGGTGCTCAATTTTTTGATGCATAGAATCCAAAGCTAATTGCAATGAAAGTTAACAATTAAACAGCACACTGTTAGGTGTGAAAAACACGGAATTTACAATATTAATGGTGAAATAATTCACTCAATTGATTTCTGGATTTGTTATTACATTTTGTTATTTAATTTCAAATAGAAAACACATACTATATACAGTTTATATCACAACTAGTGTACCTACCTACAATGAAAGGCTGAGCCGTATGATGGGGAGGCTTAAAATTCCAAGGGCAATTTTCATTTTGAAAGGACGCTCTTCTTGCAAAAAAGAGCACTTTTTATAGTAAGTTTGAAAGTTAGGGGGCACGTGCCCCTCCCTCCCTCCGCCATTGCTGAAAGGTAATGTAAAGACTTTTGACGTTCTCCGTTGTTCATTCATCACTACCTACACTGACACACGTTTATATTTTAGGTAGTGTAAAGACTGCTTTATGATCACTTTTGTGCATATTGGAGATGATGTGATTGATCTCAATTAAAATTTCCCTTTTTTAGACGAAAGTGTTAAGTATTTAAAATATTGAAATGTCTATCTTCATAAAGATAATGCTATGAATAAACTATGTTTGCATCGAACTGACAAAATTAAAAGGTCTAAAATATTCAAACACTTCATCAAAGATATTGTCCAAAGCTTTGACGTTGAAGTGTGCAAATACACTATTTTTGAAATATTGCGAAAGAATTTCATCGAAAAGATGCCAGAAAACTGAAGAATATTTGAAAATTTTTCCACGACATTATGCATAATGACGTCACTGGTTGTACTAAACGGATATTAAAAAACTTAATAACTTGAGAAATGAGAATCTAAAACGACATTCACGAACTGTTTTAGAAAGTACGCCGTCATTTTAAAAGTTCTAATAAACGAGAATGTAAAATAAACACCGAAATCTTTCCTGTCAAAAGAAATTTAACATTCTTGATGATAACTTAACTTGAAATGATAAAAGTTTCAGCAAACATACAACACTAAATGAAATTGTTTTCAATTCAAGAAGAAAAATTCATTCATAAATACATAAAAAATACACACTGGATTCTCAGGTTAGCAGTCCGATAGATGCGTGAGTCGGAATCGTATAGATTATAAGTAAATAATTTTATTCGATCTAGTAAATAATGATATAGCATAAATAACAAATGTGCGGTTTAACAGTATACCAAACGTAAATACATGAACTCACTTCTTTGCCGGGTCCTCACGATCTACATTAATTTCAATACAGGTTAGCCGATATAATAAAGTAATACAATGATGAAGCTTTCACCCAGGTTAGCATGTGGTAACTGTCAGCTGCACTATAGACTCAAATCCTTTTTATCCCAATGAATATTGCGCGTCAAATTACGCGTCAGTTAAAACATGCATAAATTAAACTCCAGTGCTAAATAATTATATCCGTGCAGTTTGTCAGCAATCCACACACAATCTGTTAAGTAATTATGCCATTCCTAACGTATTATGGACTTTGAAAAAGAAATTGTTTCGCTCAAATCCACGACGGTAGGAAAATACATGATTGAGGGGGGGGAGGGGGGAGGCTTGTATTCATATGTGCATTCTATAATCCGCTGAAAGCATTGAATTTCAAAAATCAAAAGAACTAATAACGAGATACAACCACGGATTATTGAGCAAGCTACGTCCTTTAGTCTTATTTCTAAGAACTCACTGATCGCTAAGCTACAAAGTTGACCGAACAGTTGTTCTCCGTCGTATTGACTTCCAATTATGGCCGACTCTCATGGCCAGTGAATCGACCTTTTCATAAAATGCTTTGTAATGCAGTATTTTAATTTCAAAAACGATGAAAAAGAAAATATACACGGCAAGCCACTTGTCTTTGAGAAACTTTAGGATGTCTATAGAGGTAAGTTGTCTTCAAATCAATTCCAAATCGCGTTCATAGCTACTCTGTTTTGAGTTGACTGCCATTGTCGTTGACCTATGTTCGTGTTTGATGTTTATTTAATCCCTCTGCGCAAAGGTCTCGTCACTTTTTTGGGTGAGCTATCACACAAAGGAATACATACCGTTGTATTCTCCAGGTTTGGTCATATTCTTGGGATTTGTAAATCCAATTTGTTATGTTCATTTCTGTGTATAAATGAACACATCACCATTACAGTAGCAAGCCTTTGTATATGATCAAGCCTCACAAATTTAAGCTTAGATATTATTTGATAACAATAAAATAGAGTACGTAAATGTTATTTTTTGATCTTGTAGACACAAGAGGACCAACAATGTAAACTCTTTCTCGAGGGCTCCATGTTTGAGGATCATTTTAATGACTCAAGAAGATTTGTGAAGAGGGTTATGGCGGTCATTCTGAACTTTTTGATACCAAGTTTCTGAGGCGTATTTGTTTGTTACTTCTGGAACTAAGGACGTCAGCCGAGGTTTGTGTACCTAAAGATGTTTCTCTCTGTCATAGGGTATATTGCTATTTCCATATGATCTTAATAATGCAAGATCAATAATGCATTTAAAGTAAATGACAAAATATTTTTGACATAAAAGGTTTTGAATTTATTTTAAGAAATCTTCTGTACAAATGAACTAAACTATAACATACATATGAATTACCAATCTTTAATTCATACTTAACTCTACTTCCATGTTTTGAGCTCTTGGAAAAATGAAACTCAAAACTTTCTGTCATGTATCCTTGTATATATTTGACAATGTAAAACATTTAGTTCATTCATATTGCTGATGACTTAATGTTAAGTTGAAACATGTTTATGTCAAAAAAATTTCTTATTTGCTGTAAATGCCATGTATTGTTATATTTGCAATTTGGTCAATATATTAATATCAAATAAAAATATCGACTTTATTTGAAAAATATTTTAATTGATCTATTTATGAAAATGTACAGCAAATATACTTCATCACAAACAGCAAAATAAACAAGTTTTATTAAACTGATCATACTTCAAAAGGTTGAGAATTGTTGAAAGAGTGTGTTTATCTCTGCAAACTGTGAACTAGCTGCATAGGTCTATAAACCATAGTACATATTTCATTTATTTTCAATTTTGATATGAGTTTATCTCAGCAAACAATGAAATAGGTCTACTAAACCAGAGTACATACTCAATTTTAATCCAGTTTTGGTCAGAGTCTATCTCTGTAAACTATAAACTATGTCTATTAAACCAGAGAACTTATTCCATTTCATTCTAGTTTTGATCAAGTTTTATATTTGTAAACAATTAACTTTGTGTACCAACCTTATACCCATAAAAGCTCTCACTCCCTTTTCTATGAATACGATGATTTTTTCTTCAACTGGGCAGAGATGCCTTCGTTGAATGGTGTTAATGGTATAAAATTCTGCTAGGACATTTGATCAAAAGTTTCCACGAAACTGACTGAAATACATATATTTGAAGGTTTAAGAGAATCGTTATGCATTATGACGTCACTGGTTGTACAAAATAGCCAGTCTACCAAATTCAATGTCTTAAGAATAAAAAAGAACGTTGTTTTACGTAGATAGGTTACTGTCATTTTAAAAGTTTTTTTGAACGAAACTATGATTTATAAATCAAAATTTGCGCATCATAAGCATTTTGAATTTTTCAAAAAATGTCATCGGGATTCCAAGAAAAGTCTTTGAATTCGATCACTCCTGCATTGTATGAACGTTCTGCCTTAAGTCGGAATTCTAACGCTTTTTTCAGAGCAATGTCATTATCACACACCATCACCTGCAGTTACGTAGCGCTGTAGTCAGTGACGTAGTCAGTGACGTATCGCGGTAGCAAGTGACGTTGTCGCTCCATTTAAATTTGAGAACTTTATTAGTTTTCTTTTCTTTGAACATTTATTGTTTTTGAAATGAGTGAACGTCCAAAAAATACAGAACATGAGTAAATAAGCTGACCTGGTTACCTTTGTACGTCGTACATATAGCAGGGATAATTGAGGGGTGTCGGGGTTAGGAGGGGTGTCGAGGGTGCGTGCAAGTTTTATATTCTTGATTGAAGGGGTGTAGAATGGGTACCAATTTTCTTACAAATACTAATAACCAAACAATTAAACGAAAGCAATTGAGATTAGAGAGATAAGAGCACACCCCTCCCCTACCCTACAAAAAAATATCGTGGATACATTCCATACCACCTTGGTGAATTGACTATGATAGTTTTTTCTTACATGTCAGGGACTGCGAAGTTCGATAATTGAGGGAGGATAGGGGTCTCTATCATCACGTTATTCATCGTCACGGGACTGACTTTTTTGCCCAAGTCATATTTTTTCAATTTTGGGATTTTTGCGTAGAACTATTATTTTGTCGTGTGTTCTGTGTTTATTGCCGAAGACAATTGACAAAATCAAAAAACGACTCCATAAATTTTCAATATATGACGTTTATTGAAGTGTATTTCCTCTTTTTCTCAAAAGTCTTTAAAATGACTTCACCATAAACGTTCGTAACGTGACAATGTTCATGTTTTACTTCATTGGTTTCCGTTATTTGAAATATATGAATAACGAATGTAATCTTTCCCTGCCCCAGTTATTAATCTTTCCCCGCTCCCTGCAGTGTCGTCTTCCATCGAACTTTCAATTGCTTGAAATCAATAACATTGCTTCGTTCTCATCTTTCAGACATTTTTCTCAAATTCTGGAATAAACGAAGAAAAATGGCTACCTTGTTACGAGAGATTTGTCACATCTGTGATTCATCTCTCGCAGCTCGATATCAACCTCCACAAAGGGAATTTTATTTTCATTTGAACCTCACATCGCCCTCGCGAGATCATCTTGAAGTATTACGATTCCAAAAAGGTGATGTCGTTGCCGCTGACCAAAAGCGTTTACGATTGCATATGGGCTTCGAACTGGAATGAACGAAAGTCGAAACAAATGAAGAACAGGTTTCTTTTTTTGAACTGTATTGTGAGAGGCCAAGCAGGCAAAGGATTTGAACGCAGACCATGGAGGTACATAATGGTATTTGATACAAGGCACAGACGGCAAAGCAGCAAGGACTTAAATACGGAGCTGAGCCCGCGGATGAGCAGTGTAAATGCATTCGCAATGTTCACAGATTTAAGCTCGAAGCCATTGACTATACTTGATGTGAATTTCGAAGACATTCATAGCCATGTAATCTGCATGCCAGGTAAGATGAGAGTTAAAGAATGTGTGTCAACCAAGATGCATTGCGCGCTTTTGTTTGTGTTTACATCGTTACTTTTTGATCTTACGGCACAATGAATTTACTTTCGTCACTATACTGTCTAATTTATCTGAAAAATTTACCAAAGAACATTGATTAAAAACTCTATTTTATATTAATTATAACTGTTTGTCTAATTTACATGGACTACAATAACAAAATCTGCCATTCTCTTTACTCACAAGATGGCCGTCACGCCATGATTAACGCGCAATGCATTATGGTTAAGACACATTCTTTAAAGTGCCTATATCAGGGTCAGGGAAATAACGTCTATAGATAGTTACCTACATTGAATTTAAGAACATTTGCAATAAATTTGATAGGAAGAAAATTTTGTCTTTATGGGCTTTTTGGCTTAGAAGTATGTTACTCTGCACCGGATGTGATGTAAAAAGGAGAAGACATGCATTGAAGATACAGCTTTTTCAATATTAATTAAAGGTGTTATAGCAAATCTTGAAAAACTGCACTACAAATTTAAGATGTATAGGTGTATAGTTTGATGAAATGATTTTAAAGAATATTAAAAGGAAACATTTAAAAGTAAAGTTGCGTTTTCTCAATTTTACTTTACTTTCAGCGCAAAGTCACTTACTTCTACGTACGCCCAAAGACCCCATGAGGATAACATTTTTGACCAGTCAAATATATTTCAAACGTTCTTAAAATTGATTTAACTATCCAAAGAAATTATTTCACTGTACCTGATACTTCTGGCACTTTAAAAAATAAAATATGTTTTTCGTGTTTGCAAATGCTTACTTTGGCGTCAATCCAACTTTAATGGAAGGAGGAGATGATATTCATATGTTTTGCTATGCGTGGCCAAGTTCTTTAGAAAGCAATTTCATATTCAAAAGAAATCAGCTTGTCATATTACGTATAGCAAATTATATGAATATGGCCCCCCTCAATCAACGTTGGATCAACGTCAGTGCATATACAAACTAACGATAAGTTTGGAAGAACTCGAAAGCTGATCAGTGCAAATCTTAGACTGAGATTGATTCATATGCAAATTCTCTTTGATTGATTAAATTGATTGAGCTCAGATCGAATTGCACAGGCTGATGCGAACTTAACTACAGAACAATTAGCGCACGCGTTTTGGTGTTTTTCTTTTGAATTAAAAAGTAAAAGATGCTCATTATGTTTTCACAGGATATATGCAAACCGGGGAGAACTTTGAGAGAACTCGAGAGCAGATCAGTGCAAACCAGAGGCCAAGTTCTTGGAGAGTTTCCTCGGTTTGTATTGCATTACCCTGTGCAAACCTTAGACTGAGGTCTTGGAGAGTCTCCTCGGTTTGCATTGCATTACCCAGTACAAACCAGAGACTGAGTTCTTGGAGAGTCTCCTTTGTTTGCATTGCATTACCCAGTGCGAACACAGTAAATAACTTTACGTACAGTTTCTTTTTTGAAATGAAAACAAATAACTTTAAAACAAATGTTTCAATTTTTCTTATAAAATGTATTCATGATTGATTTGCAAATTCTCTTGATTTGATTTTATTGACTGAGCTGACATCGGTTTGCACAGGATAATGCAAACTTTACTATAGACCAATCAGCTCACGCGTTGTATTGTTGATATTTTATTGTTCATCGGGTTTTAATTTGTAATATAATTCGTATTTCAAGTTTCCATTTTCCCGCGTAGGTACAAGGGACGCCAGGGGTGCACCTGTGGTATTTGTGGATACTGGAATGTTGGAATGGCAGATTCCAGATTTCAACAGCGAAGAAATAGCACAAATATGTCTATATTTGCTTCAAATTCCCAGGCAAGTAAACATTACGTACAGCGTTCGGTACACTGATCTCTGATAATTATGTATTGTCTGGATGCGTGGTGTCTGTCGTTAAAAATACGGCAGAACGTAAGGTGCTTTACTGATGCTGCAGTTGTTTCAAGCGGGGACTGTATAAGTTTACTTTTATTGTCTTCTGTATTTTGAAACCAGCATTGAACTGGAACCAAGCGTAGAATTCAAGCACAAATGCTTGTTGACCACTAACAATAACCCATCCAACTGGATTTCTTGTGCAGATCCATAAACATTTTTATTTGCAACCTATTAACCTTATTCTGCATTGAAATTCTTAAAGCACCAAACTTCTCTCATTGGCGATATTAAGAGTTTAAAAGTTGAAAACTTTCGAGACTGTTATGAAATAGAAAGTATCAAACTTTGTTCTTACGTAGTAATTTTCGTCCAAAATTTTTCCTAATTTTAGGCGTTGTGACTTTTGACGTTATCTTTATGCCTTTTCACAACAAACCGTCTACTGCGAATTAGATAACATAGTCTTCAGAAATCAAATTTTTATTTGTCGTTTTGCATCATCTGTCTTATCAATATTCTGACTGACCCGTGATTTTAAACATATCTTTTAAAATCCCTAAACTGAAACTCATCCACAACGTCAGGAAATATCGTTAAAATCACGTGGACACACACATACGCACCTATCTAAGTATATAGTTTATTGGTATGAACTTCATCCGCTGGTCGATTGGACTGCGCAAGTTTTCAGTCATTCTTCTTCAGCTTGTTTCGACAATTGCATTTTCAAAGTTATCAGCATTACCTCAATGACCGTTGTCGTCCTTGACGTGCCTCCCCCCGTCACCATTACCTCAATGACCGTTGTCGTCCTTGGCGTACCCCCCCTCACCATTACCTCAATGACCGTTGTCGCCCTTGACATGCCCCCCCCTCTTCACTATTCTTATAATCAAAGTAGCCACTACACAACCATTTACAACAATATATCGTGTTCAAAAAGAAAATCGCTTTAATGTAAATCCTTGACAACAAGACGATAACTGTTTGTTCACACTATAGTTTGTCGTAGGTTTTATAAAACTGTGTTTATTTCCCATTAAGTCATTGGATGCTCACCCCATGATACACAAATCAAAATTAATTGTGAGGTTATGGAGAGATAAAAGCCAAGGACCTTTGGTTTTTATGGCGGTTTGAGAGTCTATTGGCTGGCTTTTCATAAAAAAGAGGAAGGACCCCTTGCTTTATATGTTTTATGTTTACACTTACTTAAAACCTTATTAAGTATTTAATTCTAGACGTTTTATTATAAGTTTTGCTCTTTTAGCCTTCCCGGCGTTCCTTGTTGTCTTGCATTCGGGCAAAAAATTTTCCATTCTCGTTGTTTTAGGTTTAAGTTTTAAAACTATGTTTGTCAGTTTTTGTCGATGCACGAAACGCTGACGACAACAAAAAGACTCTGCAGATCATCGGGGAAGCTCTAATTTTTTTCGAGGTACGTTAAGTTTGAAGCAAGAAACGTTTGGAGATTTACTCAGCTTCATCAGTGAATTTGCATTATAAAATAGACTTTTAAAAAAACGGGCGCTAAATGTTTGAATGCTCGACATAAACAATGTGTCATTAAAATCGATAAATTCGTCTTTTTAATATTCTTTTTAAAAGACCTTTTTATAAAGGAAATACAAAAAAAAAATTTTACTTGTTCCTATTGAGTTACAGAAACACATAAAATGTTTTCTTAATTAAAGGTTGCATCAAGCAGAAAAAGACCTTTGCAAATTGATGTTGTTTTAATTTCAATGCCTCATTTTGCTGTTAGAAGTTAACTTCCCAGGAGTAGAAAATCATTTATACCAGGAGGAAGAAAGATATGTAATATATGCACGTAGCGTACAATACCTAAACACCCCCCCTTTTCCCTACGGATTTGCAAAGTGATAGGGATTAAAATTATCATCACGTCAATTACTAAAGGTCTTTATTTTTGATACACTTTGTGGAGTTTAAAGTACATCAGTTGCCAGACCTTTTATGACATAATTGGTCAAATTTGTCAGATCGACAGAATATGATTAAAAACGGGCAAATGACAAAATGATGCAACTTTCACTGTACTTATACTCAGTACATTATAAATAACCTAAACAAGGAACTGGGTACTAGCCACAAGATTGCAATCGTGCTGACTGCATAATGGAAGTTGGCTTACGTAATCATCAAATAATACACAGCAATTTAACCATTGATCAAGTAAAATAAGAAAACATTGTAGCGAAATTTGAAAAGACCAAATATGGCCAAATTTACTTTGGTTGGGCAATGATTATTTTCCCAGCCAGTAATCGGGGGTGTTGGGGTAGGTGAGTGGAAAGACTCGTGTTGTTCTTTTGCGAAAAGATTCATGAAAATGTCTGTTTTTAGTTCAAATTGTTGTCCTCTTTTGATGATGTGTTATCTTCCATTTCGATGGATCAAATTCCCACGACCTTTGGCGGAAGCTATGAGTACGACCACGGTGCTTGGCTGCAGTTTCGATTGGTGAGAATTTTATCACGTTGTACGATTGTGTATTTTGATACATACTGTTAACATTGTCACGTTTCTGAAACAATTTGTAATAGACTTTTAGACATGTCTATCACATTTTACATTGTACATTTGTTGATAAAATTTTAAAATTTGACACGCGTTGATAACATTGTACATTTTGACACATGTTAATTACTTTGTAATTCTGACACATTTCTAGTCTTTACTGAAGATTCGTACATTCAGTAAATTAGACTATAAGATGTTCAGCTATGACACAATTTATGTGATATGTTTTTCACGAACCTTCCTTGTGCGTGTTTGTACAATAGTTTGCCTTGATTACGTGCAGTCAAATCTCTCGAAGGATCGAATTAAGCTTTATTTTAATATGATTTGAAGATTAGTCGACATAGATTTTTGTCTATTGAGTTTTTTTTTCTTTAACCGTTGTAGCTTCATAGAACAATTCTATGTTCATCTAACTACACTTGTAAAAGGAAACCCTCTCTATTTGAATAAGGGAACGTCTCTTTTGTAAACTTGAAAGGGGGGATTTTCTCTAATATAAACTTTGAATAGGAGGTCCCTCTAATATTTATCTTTGAAACCTGTATTTTTAGAAACAGGAAACCTTCATGACGGGTTGTCGAAGTGCAACAAAGCTGGCTTTGACGGCAATAGATGAACTTGGAATAGGAAAATTTGGTGAAACGGTAAAAGAATGTCAGAGATTGCTCGAAGAACACGATGAAAAAGTTAGCGCCATCTTTTCAGACAGCCGCCTGTCTGCGTTGCAAGTCGAAGGTGAACAACTTGTGTCGGACATGCAGCAGACAGATAACTCGAACAAAACATTAGACTGGAAATATATCATGGAAATTGTCTCGAAATTATCTTTCAAAATGAATCAAGTTTTCTCCAAGCTGGAAGTTTTGTATAGAAAACGAAAACGAGAGCTCGAGGATTGTCTACAGTTAAAATGCTTTCAAGAGGAATACGCTAAGGTATGAAATTATTAAGATGTTTGCCCAGTTTACTGGAAGAGTTTTAATACCAAAATATACAATATCTTTGCCGTTGTTATAAAGTAAACTGAAGTAACAGTAGTGAATTTGTACTTTGCCTTTTCAAAAACTGTTAAGCTGCTTCGAATCCTTTTGATCTCATCCGCGAGTGGGCCTCAATGGCGTTTGATTGTATTCAAATTAACATAAGAACAACGCTGTTTTTTTGAAATTTCTAAAGAATATTTAACTCCTACTCCAGCTGACAAAATTCTGGCTTTTGCTAAAACAACTCTGGTTTCTCCTAAAAAGTTTACTTGACCGAAAATTCAAAAAGTTCGAAAGTAGAGAATATTGTCCTTCTAGTGGTACTGATATTGACTGGTTTTCCAAATATTGTTACAACCAAATTTGCAACTTTTGCTTTAAAGTGTCTGTAACACGAAATTTTGCTAGTTAAATTATGTTTAAAATGAATAGAACTTTTGAAATGACATTGTACTTTCTAAAACAGTTGATGCATATCTCTTTCTCTTCGCAAGATATTGAAGTCTTTTGTTATTTTCATTTTATCTAACTTGTGACGTCATATTGCATAATGAGTTTCCACAATGTTTTAAATACTCTTCAGTTTCCTGACAACTTTATATCTTATACCATTAACACGTCACAACAAAGGGAACTCTGTCCTTGTGAAGTAAAGTATCGTTAAATATACCTAATACTCCTAGTTCTCATTATGCAATTTGACGTCACAAGTTAGATAAATTGGACAAAGCAAAAACCTCAATATCTCAAGAAATAAAAGTGATGTGCATAAACTGTTTTAGAATGTCCATTGTCATTTCAAAAGATCTCTTCAATAAAAGTACAACTCAGATTGCAAATTTTTCGTGTCATGGGCACTTTAAGCAAAGAAAATGCTTTAGTTTATGTAAGACTTGTACTTCGATGAGAAACATCGCCTTGTCTCAGCATCACTTTATCGCAAACAAATTGTCGTTCTTGGACTATATAATTGTCAATACAATAAAGCGACATGTTATCTGTCATGCGCTATTCATGTGAAAATTTTTGCGTGTTCATTAACATCAACCTCATATTTTTATCACACTTTTCCTCGTGTTAGGGAAAATAAAAATTGTTTAATAAATAAGCTATGTACACTTGGCAGTGATTTCGATTTTGATGAACAAAGACTTGACAAAACAACTGGTCAAATCCATACACTGCAGTTTAAAGATTCTGAACAAAAACTAATGCTATAAATTTTCTTTAACCTCAGTTATGAATAATATAATAAAGTCATTTATTTCTTCAGTAATTTATTATAATAATCAAAGGCTATTAGAACATTGAAGGTTTACATATTGAACTCGCTGTTCAACTTAATATTAAAAAGTTTTGCTGAGTTATAATGATCTGATTATTTACAGAATATTTTGTGCTTATACATAATTTTGCCCAAAAGGTAAAACTTCAGCAATAGCTCCATCTCGTGGTTCATTCATTGAAGGAAGATATGTCCATAAAGAACTCTTTTCCATTTCAAAACACTCCACTGATTTAAGATATTTATCTTTAACATTAAAACCTCCCACAACAACAATTGTATCATCTGTTATAACTGCACAACATCTAGATCTCTTTTCCAACATGGATGGTAAGACTGTAATCTTACCTGTTTTGCTGTCATACATGATAACACTGTTCAAACTTTCTCTTCCATCACAACCTCCAAGAAGAACAACTTTATCTCTCCATTGAACTGTTGCCATTTCATACAATGGATGAGGTAATGGAGGCATTTCCTTAAATGTAAGACTCCTTGGGTTAAACTCCAAAACACTGGACAAAACCTTCGTATCTTTTCCATTTCCTCCAAAAATAAGAAATTTATCATCAACAACAACAGCTCCATGGCACCAACGTGGTTTAGGCATATGACACAACTCTTTTATAACATGAGATGTTGTACCAGTTATCTTTATTTCACTGATCAAATCCGATGGTCCTTTACCAGCAATGTATCCTCCAATGCAAAAGATTTGTTGTTTATAAACAACAGTTTGATGACCACTACATTCATAAGGAAACTCTGTGGGAAATTTTCTCCATGTCAAAGGAAACTGTTTTATATTCAATGTTTCCATTGACTTGCAGCGAGATCCTCCAACAGCAAATAAATTATCATTATAAATAAATGATGAAGCAAACCTGTGTTCATTTTTCATTGATGCAATCTCAAACCATTTCTTCTCCTTCCATGAAAATATTTCAGCACTCTTTAAAGAACCAAATGGGTAACCACCAGCAATCAAAATATCTTCTTTTCCTGAGTTCATCATTCCCTCAATTGATGATGGCAATGTTTTGACATGTTCATTTTTAGTCATCTTTCCCAATATTTGAAGTATCATGACTTTCATTTCTTTCATTTCTTTGGTCACTGTAGAAAGATTTTGTTGAACATCTTTTATTTCTTTCCTTGATTCCATCATTTCTTTGGTCACTGTAGAAAGATTTTGTTGAACATCTTTTATTTCTTTCCTTGATTCCATCCATTCTTTGGTCACTGTAGAAAAATTTTTTTGAATATTTCTTATTTCTCCTTTCAATTCCATCATTTCTTTTTGTATTTTTTCTTGATCGTCAAAACTTTGTAGAAACATTTCTTTTATATCCGCAAAATCGTGAGAAGGAATCTTTCTGTCTTCACATAACTCAGTTTCATGTTTAATCTTGTCTCGTTTGTTTATTTCCAGACCACAACGTTTATTAGAGCACAACACTGGAGCAAAGCCACAATTTTTCACATGTCTTTCAAGATCTTCAACATTTATAAATTCTTTGCAACCACGAATACCGTAGTCGCAATTGATCTTTAACTTAGAAATCATATTATTTATAATACGCGCTGGAAGAAGTGTAGCCACAGTCAAATTGTCTTGACATTGAGGACATCTTTGTGCATTAACTCGTAGATGTTCTTCAATACATTCACGACAAAAGATGTGTTCGTTATGACACATTCTCGCATCATTAGCGACGTTAAGGCAAATTGAACAGTGAAAATTTTCATCAACAGCAAACTTAAATCTCGATTCATCATAGCCACATTCATAATCATTAGGACGATAAGCCATTTCATTTGTTTTCCCGTATAACTCAGTGTTAAGATTAATTTAAGAAGTGACGAAATTATTTGTTTATCGCTACAAGTTAAAGCTAGAAAATACGCTGAAATTCTCCGTCGACGTTTGATAAACACGGAAGTTAAAAGCGAAGAATAACAACGCCTAGTTTTGTACTTTAACATTATTGTGTAAAACAAAACCAAGACAAAAAAAGATAAAACAAAAGAATGAAATGAAGCAGATCTACAAAAGACATGCATAAACAAAAGTATGTACGCAATTCATACATGTGGTAACCTTCAGTTATCTGGTCACAAAGTGAAGTAAATTTATAAACATAGTTTCGATAATATATAATAAATACAATTTTTGTCAAGATTGTGTTCAAGATTTTAAAATGTGTTGAATGCTTAGTCAAATGACTCAGTAACTCTTACTCTTAAACACTTTCTGCATCTATCGAACGCGTTCTCTCAAACCTCACATCGTGGAAAGTGAAAAGTTCTTTAAGAGTTCTTACAAATTCGAACGACAAATGCATTGTCGTTCTCACTAATAACCATTTATTTGCAATACTACAAACTTACATGAGATGTCATTTATTCAACCGACAAAAGAACACGTTTATGACTTGTGTATTGATTTACATACATACGACACTGGAATTAGTTGTATTACTTTTTGTGTCCATGCGCTGTGCTTTTTGTTGTTAATTTTTTTCAATAACCTTTTGAAAAGACTGTATTTTTGACGATTCTGTTTAAACATTGTTTAATCTGTGAAAGCGAATACATCGCACATTTCAAGTGATTGAAAATAGTCAATTTTCTTTCCTACTCTTATAGTTCGATGTTGTGTTGTCATTTTGACGTTTTGTAAGTTTAAAAGATAATATTTGCTGTTATTTACTTTCTGCCTTTCTTCAACGCACCAACAAAGTAAGCCTAGGTAAATGTAAACAATGCGAATAAAAGTGTTGAATTTAACTAAATTCAAGTACAGTTCATCGTATTAAGTATAAGTTTCTCGTACTACCATTCCACAAACATGATAAAATGTTTTTGATCACTTGCATTGTCTACATTTGTATTATTTCTTGAGGATTTTATTGCTTACTTTTTATTATTTTTTGTAAAGTTTTATATAGAGCACGATAGTCCGTTAAATGGATAAATCAATTTCATGTTTTGTTCTACATGAATAGACGATTACTGGGAATATCATATGATAAAGTTGAATGGTTGAGCCTTGCTTTTTTTTTAAATTAATATTTCTGAAGATTTTACTTAGACCATGCCGTAAACTTTACACAAAATTGAACAAATTAGCAATCAAGGTACCCAATATCACCGATAATGTTTTAATTATAATACAAAATCAACAATTATATAACAAAAAAACCCGAATGAAGTGCTTTCACTGACAAGTGGGCAGAAAATTTCAAAAAGAAAAGGACTTTGTGTTGGTTTCATGCTCACTTGAGAATTTGCTCTTTGAAGTAACCTACATTTGAAAACACATCACAAATTGTGCGGTTTCACTGTTTTCGGTTAAACAAAGATTAAATTTTTGCAATTAATCTTATGTGAACCAAACTTTCTTTTAAATTTTTAATCAATGTATTCTCTCTGGCTATTCCACCCTTTCTGTAAGTAAAAAAAAACTTTGGATTTGCATTTATGGCAAAGTTGGCAGTTGTCACGTTTGTAACGATATCGTGAGAATGGTGTTCACGTGATTACATTGACCTTTTCATATAGCTGGATTGTGTAGTGAATACTTTAAAATTTATTGATGTTTTAGGCTATCGGTGTTAGACACGATTTTTGTAATGTATGGTTTAAATGTTCTTTTAGGTACTAAAATGGCTACAGGATGTCGGTATGCCTTGTTTAGAAAAACCTTTGGAGATTACACAGTGATATAGACAGGCACTCAGTTACCATGGTAACTTCAAGAAATTCCTGACTTCTGCTAAGGTATTATGGTATGGATTGGGAAGTAAAAACTACAGTTGATTATATCAATTTGTCGCAGGCACAGACATGAACACCAGTGTTTTCTAACCTTTACTTAACCCCTCCCATTCTTTGTTAAAGGTTTCTTTGAAAGGAAACTGGTCCACCTAGAGAAAATCTAAAACTTTGGGCTTAGCGTTCACGAATACCTGACTGCACAACTTTTCTTAAATATGTTTGTAAATGTAGATCGTCCAGGTTGGTATAGTCCTGAGAAGGACTGTTTTTGTTGTTGTTGACTGACGTTTCAACAACCTTAGCGGTAGTCATCTTCAGAGTCAAATGAGGAGTTAACGTCAGGTTAGCCGTATTTGTTATCTGGTTCTTACGTCATTGTATTGTGTGTAGAGGAAATGTGTATTGTCATTGTGAATTAGTGTGAAGCGAAATGTTTTTAGTTGTGATATGTGATTTAGGTAAGATGTTTTTAGTTGTAATGTGTGGGTGTCAATTGTGTATTGTCATTGTGAATTAGTGTGAAATGTAATGTTTTTGTTCATCGTTTGTTTGTATTGTGAATAAGTCGTTTGTTAGGTGTCGGTAATTGCTGCGATCTGTTCAGGCAGGGGGGTTTGTTCCAAGTTGGTATACCAACTTTCTAATGTAAGCCGTTGTCTATAGTCAGTACTGTAAGTAATGCATTTTGCCGAGTTCCAGTCAATGTTGCGTTTCCTCAAATTTTACATCAATTATTTCTTTTTTAGAGTTATATACTCCAAGCTCAAGATTTACTGGAGATAGTTCATTTAGTTCATTTACTGCAGATAGTTCCATTACAAATAGTTCTTTTTGTCGTTTTCGTCGTCGTCATGCAAGACGTGAGCTCGGAGCAAATCGAAAAAATGAAGATCTAGTGACGTTGGTTAAGATGGTTGAAGAATTACAAATTTAGAATGCAAAAGTGTTGAAAAAGTCAGAAGAAAATTCTAGACTGATCAAGAATATCATTGGAATTCATGAATAGGAAAATGACTCTGCGCAGTCTCAAGGTAAACTTAGTTCTCTCTAAATTTATACCTGTGTAATTTCCTGTATACATTGTTAGCTTAGATTAAACCAATTAAATTCATACATATTTATGTTTCACGTAAACATTGTCAGGAGATTTTTTTGTCTGTTATTGATTCATCATCACCGACAAACTTTATTTAGTTTATAATGTCGTGTCGGTGGTGTACATTGAGTGTATAAAAAAACTAAACAGTTACGAAAACGTCGCTGTAGTTTTCAGCGTGCAAGATCTGCATAAACATTTGGTGGAATAGGAAGTCTGACTTCTAATGGTTCATCTGACTGTAAAATAGCGTAAGAATTGTGTTACCGAGAAACACTTTTGAAATAGCCTGCTCAAGAAAATGATATAGCCAAAAAGCAATTGGATAATTTTGTTCTTTTCATTTTCTGTTGTCCATTCATCACTACCTACACTGACACACGTTTAAATTTTAGGTAGTGTAAAGACTGCTTTATGATCACTTTTGTTCATATTGGAGATGATGTGATTGATCTCAATTAAAATTTCCCTTTTTTAGACGAAAGTGTTAAGTCTTTAAAATATTGAAATGTCTATCTTCATAAAGATAATGCTATGAATGAACTATGTTTGCATCGAACTGACAAAATTAAAAGGTCTAAAATATTCAAACACTTCATCAAAGATATTGTGCAAATACACTATTCATGAAATATTGCGAAAGAATTTCATCGAAAAGATGCCAGGAAACTGAAGGATATTTGAAATTTTCTAAATGGATATTAAAAAACTTTAATAACTTGAGAAATGAGAATGTAAAACAACGTCGTTTTAAAAGTTCTAATAAACGAGAATGTAAAATTAATACCGAAATCTTTCCTGTCAAAAGAAATTTAACATTTTTGATAATAACTTAACTTGAAATGATAAAATTCTCAGCGAACATACAACACAAAATGAAATTGGTTTTCAATTCAAGAAGAAAAAATCATAATTACATAAAAAATGTACACACAATCTGTTAAGTAATTATGCCATTCTTAACGTATTATGGACTTTTTAAAAACAATTTGTTTCGCTCAAATCCACGACCATAGGAAAATACAAGATTCGGGGGGGGGGGAGGGGGAAAGGCTTGTATTCATATGTGCATTCTATAATCCGGTGAAAGCATTGACTTTCAATAATCAAAAGAACTGATAACGAGATACAACCACCGATTATTGAGCAAGCTACGTCCTTTAGTCTTATTTCTAAGAACTCACTGATCGCTAAGCTACAAAGTTGACCTAACAGGTGTTCGAGTTCAAGCAGGTATTTAGTAAAACTGCACTTCATTCAATATATTCTGTTCAATTCGTTGAGACTTTGACGCACAAGCTGACAAAAAAGGAGAGAAAAGGAAGGACTGCTAAGCCTTTTACAGCCGTCTTCGTACTTGACGAGATTACCCACATACCTTTGCGTCTCCGTCATATTGACTTCCAATTATGGCCGACTCTCATGGCCAGTGAATCGACCTTTTTATAAAATGCTTTGTGATGCAGTATTTTGAATCCAAAATCTACCAAAATCGAAAGATATACGGCAAGCCAGTTGTCTTTGAGAAACTTTAGGATGTCTATAGAGGTAAGATGTCTTGAAATCGATTCCAAATCGCGTTCATAGCCACTCTGTTTTGAGTTGACTGCCATTGTCGTTGACCGATGTTGTGTTTGATGTTTATTTAATCCCTCTGCGCAAAGGTCTCGTCACTTTTTTGGGTGAGCTATCACACAAAGGAATACATACCGTTGTATTATCCAAGTTTGGTCATATTCTTGGGATTTGTAAAGAAATTTTGTTATTCGTAGTCGACTGTAAACAAGCTCATCAGTAATCATGTTCGATCTTTGACGTCTTTGATGTACGTTGCGATCACTTGTCATCAATTGTGTATAATCTTTATTCATTTGTAAGTGATATTATAAATAGTTGCGAATATCGTTTACAGGGAAAAGTTCTTTTTATTTAATCGCGTTCTTTTCATCCAGACGGAATAATTTAATTACGAAATCGAAGAATTGTTTTGAAACTCTTGCGATTGATTTTAACTGATTTTTAGTTGAAACTTTCAAATTGTGACTCTACCTATTTCGACTATACGACTGTATTTAACCACAGCCTTATCGATATCGCACTTTTAAAGCAAAATTACACGATTTTTTACTCAATAAACAAGTACATACGAATTGTATGTCACATTTTCTAATTTACACATAACGGAAGAGAGTCGGCAGCTACTTCGGTATAACTTTACCTCGAGTGCGGTTGGCAATATGCTATTTGCTCAAAGCAATTTTCTTGAAGTTATGATAACTGTTTAGAAAACTGTTGGTGTATTCACATACTGATGTTAATTTGAAACATACGATTGTTGTGGTTCCTTAATTGATTGATATTACCTAATTGTAACAGTGGCGATAACCCAGGGAATCATTTCCTTCAAGATAACGCAATTTTTACCGCAAATCCTTAGTCAAACTGCTTCATCTTTGTTGACATACAATGTCCTAATTATCGAGGAACATAATCTTTCAGTAAACAAAGTTACCAGAATGTTCAAATAACACAGAAATAAAGTAATTTATGTTACATGTTCCCTGAATCATTAGAACTCAAATTGTAGGTGATTACTACATACATTATCCTTTATATACCAATATGTTTTAAACTTTTTTAAGTGATCCAAATTAAACCAATTTGTCAAGAAATACTTTACATTTAACCTGTAGGCAGATTGTGTTTGCATCTTTCAAGGCATAGCAGCCAGCCAGACTGGTATTCTTGGCAATTTCTAAGGACATTAATCTCTACTTTAAAAATAAGTTTTTGATATCGGTGAAAGAATGAACTTTTGGTAAAATATTTAATCCCTTTTTTTCATTGGCATTCCTGTGTATAAATAAACACATCAACATTACAGTAGCAAGCCTTTGTGCATGATGAAACCTCACAACTTTGAGCTTAGATATTATTTAATCACAATAAAATAGAGTACGTAAAAATGCTATTTTTTGATCTTGTAGACACAAGAGGATGAACAATGGAAACTCTTTCTCGAGGGTTCCATGTTCGAGGATCATTTTAATGAACTCGAGAAGATTTGTGAAGAGGCTTATGGTGGCCATTCTGAGCTCTTTGATGATGAGTTTTTGAGGCCCATTTGCTCATTACTTCTAGAACTACGGACATCAGCTAAGGTTTGTGAACATAAACATGTCTCTCTTAGCTGTAGGCTATATTGTTATTTCTATATGATGTCAATAGCATAAGATTAATAACCCATTTGAAGTAAACGACCAAATTTTTCAACATAAACATGTTTCAACTTAATTTCAAGTCATCTTTAATTCAGGTGAACATAAATATATCATACATATGAATTATAAATTAATAGTTCATACTTTTATTCTATAATGGAAAAATCAGAGCATCACAAATAGTAAAATAAATAAGTTATATTAAACTTATCATATTTCAAATGGCATATAAATGTTGAAAGAGCATGTTTATCTTTGTAAACTTTGAACCATCTGCATAGGTCTACTTATTGATCTGAGTTTATTTTTGCAAAATAAGAACTAGGTTTATTAAACCAGAGTACATATTCAATTTTAATGCTTTTTTAATCCAGGTTTATATCTGTAAACTAGAGTATTATGGGATAGTTGTCAATTAAGGGCCTGGACCCACTGTTATTGATGTTTATCATTTGTAAACGAATGGCTTCTGTATTTTCTTCCTCAATATTAGTTTTACAAGATCCTTATTTCATGAAATAGACTAAGTCTTATCTACAAACTACATTTTGTCTATTAAACTATAGTCTATACTTCATTTTTTCCCAATTTTGATCGGAGTTTACAATATATTCGTAAATTATAAACTAGTCATACATATTCAATTTTAATCCAGTTTTGATCTTTGTTCATGAGCATTTTGCATTTTTTAAAAAATGTCATTGGAACATTCAATTCCATGAAAAGTATTTGATCGCTCCTGCATTATATGAATGTTCTCCCTCATGTCTGAATTCTAACGCGTTTTTTCAGAATAATCTCACTATCTCACACCATTTACCTGCAATGACGTAGCGTGGTAGCTCGTGACGTTGTCAGTGACGTAGCGCGGCAGCCTGTGGCGTATCACTCTTTTTAAATTCGAGAACTTTATTAGTTTTCTTTTCTTTGAACATTTATTGTTTTTGAAATGAGTGAACGTCGAGAAAATACAGAACATGAGTAAATAAGCTGACCTGGTTACTGTCTACGTCGTACATATAGAAGGGATGGATTTAGGGGGAGGAGGGGTGTTGTGGGGGTGTGCACACAGATCTAATAATACACTAGATAGTGCAACGGCTTACATTTCATAAGTAGTGGTTGAAGCCGGGCAAATTTACTTCCGGAGCCCCAAAGTTGTGAGAATCAATATGGCGTTGTATTAGAAAATATCTGGTCAAAGCTGATATCTTGCAATTACTTGCAAGTCACGACGGTTACATAAACTGGTTTACTCTATTAATGAAAAAAATCAATGTGACCATAGTTTTTCAAGAAAAAGATTGCAGAATACGCCAATACATCGCCGTAAAATTGATTTCAAGTGTAGCTCGATTTGAAAGCATCAGCAGCGACGAAGGCTTAAGATACTGGAATTTGCACATCTAAATATCGTATCACAGCACAATCTGCCACAAAATGTTCAATGGAACGTCGTAGAATTATCTTCCGATATTTATTGTTAAGTAAAACGAGTTGGAGATAACAGTTTGAAAGATTTTTCACGATTTATATAAAGTATATTGTTCACTGTACATAATTAAATATTGCACTGGATTATTGTACCAGAAATGCATTTTTCTGGTGTTTCTGGTCGGCAAACGAATATAGCTATGTCAAGATGTGAGTAATTAATACGTTCAGAAATTATTTACAGAAAGAATGTGAAGAGTCTACCTCGAAGAGTCTATGTCTTGTCTATGTCTTGCTTGTCTTGCTTGTCTATGTCAGAGAGTCTGTCTTGCTTCTTTGGAATTTGTTTTATATTATGAATCTACCTCTGTTACACCAAATTTTTTGTGAAGTATAAAATAGCAGGTCACTTGTGAAACTGTTGATACCACAGGTTGATACAATACACTCTGTCCAACACGGGGAAAATATTTACTTGTTAAAGCAAGAAGAGTCACCAGACTTGTAGTATTGACTGTGTTTTACACATATATATAAACAATGTATTGTCATAGTCTAAACCAGTGGGTTATATGGCCACTGCCCACAGTGCTAAATGTACTGTAATGGTGATGTTATGCTACTGTTTTCAACATTTTTATTTTCTTTTTTACCATTCAGGCATGTATATGCATATAAAACTTTCTACACACTCTTGTTATTGAAAATATCAAACCTAAATTATTTATTCTGAGCAAATTATTTAATTTGTGCTTGTAACCTGTGTCAATTTCTGACTGATTTTTGTAATATGCCTGTTCTATTACAATACATCCATAGATCGAGTATGATATCGCTGTATTTGCCACGAACTAAGCCCCACTATCGCAGATTGTGCTGTGATACGATATTTAGATGTGTAAATTCCAGTACTTAAGCCTTCGTCGCTGCTGATGCTTTCAAATCGAGCTACACTTGAAATCAATTTTACGGCGATGTATTGGCGTATTCTGCAATTTTTTCTTACAAACTATAGTCACAATGATTTATTTCATAAATAGTGCAAAAAAGTTGATGCAACCTCCGCGATTTGCTAATAATTGCGAGATATTAACTTTGACCACATATTTTCTAATACAACGCCATATTGATTCTCACTACTTTGGGGCTCCGGAAGTAAATTTGCCCGGCTTCAACTTGTATGTCAGTTGCACTATGTAGTGTATTATTAGATCTGTGGGTGTGCACCTTTCATATTCTTGGTTAAAGGGGTGCGGGATAGGTACCAATTTTCTTACAAATATTAATAGACCAAATAATTAAGCCAAAGCAATTGTGATAAGAGTTTAATGGAGTGCACTTTCCAGAAAAATCTTACTGTCACAATATGAAGTTAAGTCATCTGAAAAAAACAGTCTGACATTAAACAACAATATGGAGCCATCGAAATCTAATACTTACTTCAGCACACCCACCCCTCCCATACAACACTACCGTGGATAAGTACATTCCATGACATAGGATTATGATAGTTCTTTCATACGTGTCAAGGACCGCGGAAGATTGATAGTTGAGGGGAGGGAAGGGTGGATTTTGGATTTTTGCGTTTTAGAAGAATTATTATTTTTCCCGTTGTTAAGTTCCGTATTTATTGCCGAAGTCAATTAACCAATCAAAAAACGACTCAATAAATGTTCAATAAATGTTTATTGAAGCGTTTGACTTTTTTAAAGTTATATTAATTATTTCCTTTTTTTCTCAAAACTTCCAAAAATGATTTTGCCATAAAAGCGAGTAACGTGACGATATTCATATACTACTTTATTACTTTCTGTTGAAATCAATGTGACCCTTCCCCGCGTCAATTATCAATCTTCCACGCTCCCTGCAGTGTGATCATCCGTGGAAGTCTTAATTTTAGGGAAATTGCTTGAAATCAATAACATTGCTTCGTTTTCCATCTTTCAGACATTTTTCTCAAATTCTGGAATGAACGAGGAAAAATGGCTACCATGTTACGAGAGATTTGTCACATCTGTGATTCATCTCTCGCAGCTCGACATCAACCTCCACAAAGGGGAATTCTATTTTCACTTGAACCTCACATCGCCCGGCGAGATCATCTTGAAGTATTACGATTCCAAAAAGGTGATGTCATTGCCGCTGACCAAAAGCGAATACGATTGTATATGGGCTTCGAACTGGAATGAACGAAAGTCGAAACAAATGAAGAACAGGTTTCTTTTTTTTGAACTGTATTGTGAGAGGCCAAGCAGGCAAAGGGTTTGAACGCAGACCGTGGAGGTACATAATGGCATTTGATACAAGGCACAGACGGCAAAGCAGCAAGGACTTGAATACGGAGCTGAGCCCGCGGACGAGCAGTGTAAATGCTTTCGTAATGTCCACAGATTTAAGCTCGAAACCATTGACTATACTTGATGCAAACTTCAAAGTCATTCTTAGCCATGTAATCTGAATGCCAGGTAAGATGAGAGTTAAAGAATGTGTGTCAACCAAGATGCATTGCGCGCTTTTGTTTGTGTTTACATCGTTTACTTTTTGATTTTGCGGCACAATGAATTCACTTTCGTCATTATACTGTCTAATTTATCTGAAAAATTTACCAAAGAACATTGATTAAAAACTCTAATTTATATTAATATTAATTTATACTAAGCTAACTGTTTGTCTAATTTACATGGACTACAATAACAAAATCTGCCATTTTCTTTACTCACAAGATGGCCGTCACGCCATGATCAACGCGTAATACATTATGGTTAACATACATTCTTTAAAGTGCCTATATCAAGATCAGGGAAATCACGTCTATAGATAGTTACCAACATCGAAGTTAAGAACATTTGCAATAAATTTGATAGGAAGAAAATTTTGTCTTTATGGGCGTTTGGCTGTACAGAACATGAGTAATTAAGCAGACCTGGTTACTGTCTACGTCGTACATATAGTAGGGATAATTGAGGGGTGTTAAGGGGGTGTGCACGTGTCATATGGTAAAATATGCAATATCTTTAGTGGATGTCAGTTGATCTTATTTCGGTGTGTGATTAGCAAAGACTTTGACCTTCGTAAACTAATGCTACTGCTAATGTTGCAACGTATGCCATTTTCCGGTTTAAATTGGTGAAGCGTAATGATTTTAAAGGCAAACGAACTTTTTGGCTTTGGTTAACTTAAATCACGTTTATGGAGAAAGCTGAAGAACCGGTGGTGATCTTGCGATTGTTTGTCGGTCTATCCTGCTTTATGTTGCTTCTGAAAGTCATTGGAATTTGCGATTTCTATGTGTGTGAAGTCTCCTCCATATTCTAGTTGCTACAATTTCTCTTTTCTTGTTCTGATAACCCCATAGTTCAAATGATTTTATAAGTTTTCATTTGGGTCATGGACTTCGTGATATGTAGGACCACTGACTGTGTTGACATTTACTTTATGTTCACATGTCATTGTAAAAGTTTGGGAGCGTAGAGATCGTCAACAGGAATGAATTTTTTGAGGAATATGAAACTGGCTTTAAACATAAAAGCAGAAGACTACGAGTTTCAAATTTATGTTGTATTTACATTCAAATATTTCACACCTTTTTATGTTTAATGCTTGTATTTTTCATCTCCATAGGAGATGCAACCAGGTAGCGTTCACATTGCCTACATCCTCGAACGAAAGGATTCACATCTATTGATGTTCAGTGCTGATAAACTAAAAGAAAAACTTAAATTTTAAGTAAGGTTGGGGAGTGTTGGGGTAGGTGGGTGGAAAGACTCGTGTTGCCCTTTTCCGCAAAGGTTGATAGAAATTTCTGTTTTTAGTTCAAATTGCTGTCGTCTTTTGATGATGTACTATCTTCCATTTCAATGCATCAAATTCCCACGACCTTTGGCGGAAGCTTTGAGGTCGATCACAAAGCTTGGCTGCAGTTTCGATTGGTGAGAATTTTATCACGTTGTACGATTGTGTATTTTGATACATACCGTTAACATTGTAACGTTTCTGAAACAATTTGTAATAGACTTTAGACATCTCCATCACATTTTATATTGTACATTTGTTGATAAAATTTTAAAATGTGATATGTGTTGATAACATTGAACATTTTGACACATTTCTAGACAATAGGATTTGAAGATTAGTCGACATAGATTTTTGTCTATTGATTTTTTTTCTTTAATCGTTGTAGCCTCATAGAACAATTCTATGATCATTTAACTACACTTGTAAAAGAAAACCCTCTCTATTATAAACTTTGAATGGGAGAACGTCTCTTATATAAACTTGAAAGGGTAATTGTTTCTAATATAAACTTGGAATAGGGGAGCGTCACTAATATTTATCTTTGGAACCTGTATTTTAAGAAACAAGAACCTTTCATAACGGGTTGTCGAAGGGCAACAAAGCTGGCTTTGACGGCAACAGATGAACTTGGAATACAAAAATTTGGTGAAACGGTAGAAGAATGTCAGAGATTGTTCGAAGAACACGATAAAAAATTGAGCGCCATCTTTTCAATCTTTTCAGACAGCCGCCTGTCTGCGTTACAAGTCGAAGGTGAACAACTTTTGTCGGACATACAGTAGACAGATAACTCGAACAAAACACAAGACTGGAAATATACCATGGAAATTGTCTCGAAATTATATTTCAAAATGAATCAAGTGTTCTCCAAGCTGGAAGTTTTGTATAGAAAACGAAAACGAGAGTTAGAGGATTGTCTGCAGTTCAAATGCTTTCAAGAGGAATACGTTAAGATATAAAATTATTAAGATGTTTGTCCAGTTTACTGGAAGAGTTTTAATACCAAACTATACAATATCTTTGCCTGGTTATCAAGAAAATTGAAGTAATATTAGTGAATTTGCACTTTGCTTTTTTAAAAACTGTTAATCTGCTTCGAATCTTTTTGATCTCATCCAGGAGTGAGCCTCAATGGCGTTTGATTGTATTAAATTAACATAAGAACAACGCTGTTTGTTAGATATTTCTGAAGAATGTTTAACTCTTACTTCAGCTGACATAACTCTGGCTTTTGCTAAAAATTTTACATGACCGAATATTCTAGAAATTAGAAAGTAGAGAATATTATCTTTCTAGTGGTACTGATATTGACTGGTTTTCCAAATATTGTTACAACCAAATTTGCAACTTTTGCTTTACAGTGCCTGTAACACGAAATTTTGCTAGTTAAATTATGTTTGCAATGAATAGAAATTTTGAAATGACATTGTACTTTGTAAAACAGTTAATGCATATCTCTTTCCCTTCGCAAGATGTTGAAGTTTTTGTTATTTCCATTTTATCTAACTTGTGACGTCATGTTGCATAATGAGTTCCCACAATGCTTTAAATACTCTTTAGTTTCCTGACAACTTTATATCTTATACCATTAACCACGTCACAACTAAGGGAACTCTGTCCTTGTGAAGTAAAGTATCGTTAAATATACCAAATACTCCTAGTTCTCATTATGCAATGTGACGTCACAACTTAGATAAATCAGACAAAGCAAAAACCTCAATATCTCAAGAAATAAAAGTGATGTGCATTAACTGTTTTAGAATGTCCATTGTCATTTCAAAAGATTTCTTCAATGAAAGTAGAACTCTGATTGCAAATTTTTCGTGTCATGGGCACTTTAAGCGAAGAAAATGCTTTAGTTTATGTAAAACTTGTACTTTGATGAGAAACATCGCCTTTTCTCAGCATCACTTTATCGCAAACAAATTGTCGTTCTTGGACTATATAATTGTCAGTACAATAAAGCGACATGTTATCTGTCATACAAAAAAAGCGCTATTTCTGTGAAATTTTTGCTTGCTCATTAACAATAACCTCGTATTTTTATCACACTTTTCTTCGTGTTAGGGAAAATAAAAGTTGTTTAATAAATAAGCTATGTACAATTCGCAGTGATTTCGATTTTAAAGAACAAAGACTTGACAAAACAACTGGTCAAATCCATACACTGCAGTTTAAAGATTCTGAACAAAAACTAATGCTATAAATTTTCTTTTACCTCAGTCTTGAGTAAAATACTAAAGTCATTTATTTCTTCTGTAAGTTACTATAATAAGCAAAGGGTATGAGAACATTGAAGGTTTACATATTTAACTTTAAATATTCACTGTTCAACTTAATATTAAAAAGTTTTGCTGAGTTATAATGATCTGATTATTTACAGAATATTTTGTGCTTCTACATAATTTTGCCCAAAAGGTAAAACTTCAACAATAGCTCCATATCGTGTTTCATTCATTGAAGGAAGATATGTCCATGAAGAACTAACTCCCATTTCAAAACACTCCACTGATTCAAGAATTTCACATTTATCATTCTGACCTCCCATGACAACAATTGTATCCCCTGTTATAACTGCACAACAGGCGACTCTCTTTTCCAACATGGATGGTAAGACTGTAATGTTACCTGTATTACAGTCATACATGATAACACTGCTCAATTTTTCTCTTCCATCATAACCTCCAAGAAGAACAACTTGATCTCTCCATTGAACTGTTGCCATGTCAGATAATGGATGAGGTAATGAAGGCATTTCCTTAAATGTAAGAGTCCTTGGATCAAATTCCAAAACACTGGAAATAATATTGGACAAAACTATGCTAACTTTTCGAAATCCTCCAAAGATAAGAACTTTATCATCAACAACAACAGCTCCATGGTCAAAACGTGGTTCAGGCATATGACACAACTCTTTTAAAACATGAGATGTTGTACCTGTAATCTTTATTTCACTGATCAGATCTGATCTTCCTTTACCAGCAATGTTTCCTCCAATGAAAAGGATTTGTTGTTTACAAACAACAGCTGGATGACCACTACATTCATAAGGAAACTCTGTGGGAAATTTTCTCCATGTCAAAGGAAACTGTTTTATATTCAATGTATCCATTGACTTGCTGCCTAATCCTCCAACAACAAATAAATTATCATTATAAATAAATGATGAAGCCAACCTGTGTTGAGTTTTCATTGATGCAATGTTAAACCATTTCTTCTCCTTCCATGAAAATATTTCAGCACTCTTGAAGCAACCAGACAAGTCACCTCCGGCAATCAAAATATCTTCTTTTCCTGAGTTCATCATTCGCTCAATTGATGATGGCGATGTTTTGACATGTTCATTTTTAGTCATCTTTCCCAATATTTGAAGTATCATGACTTTCATTTCTTTCATTTCTTTGGTCACTGTAGAAAGATTTTGTTGAACATCTTTTATTTCTTTCCTTGATTCCATCATTTCTTTGGTCACTGTAGAAAGATTTTGTTGAACATCTTTTATTTCTTTCCATATTTCCATCATTTCTTTGGTCACTGTAGAAAGATTTTGTTGAATATTTCTTATTTCTCCTTTAGACTCCATCATTTCTTTTTGTGATTTCGAGTTTTGGTTCGTCAGTGACTCTATTTTTCCATTTATTTTATCAATTGGCATTTTTACTTGATCCTCAAAACTTTTTTGAAACATTTCTTTTATCTCCGCAAAATCGTGAGAAGGAATTTTTCTGTATTCACATAACTCAGTTTCATGTTTAATCTTGTCTCGTTTGTTTATCTCCTTGTCACAACGTTCATTAGAACACAGCACTGGAGCAAAACCACAATTTTTGACATGTCGTTCAAGATCTTCAATGTTGATAAATTCTGGACAACCACGATTAGCGTAGTCGCAACTTATCTTAAACTTTGAAATCAAGTTATTTATAACTCGCGCTGGAAGAAGTGTAGATACATTCAAATTATCAAGACATTGAGGACATCTTTGTGCATTAACTCGTAGATGTTCTTCAATACATTTACGACAAAAGATGTGTTCGTTATGTTGACACATTCTCGCATCTTTAGCGACGTTGAGACAAATTGAACAGTAAAAAGTTTCATCAACAGCATTCTTAAATCTCGATTCATCATAGCCACATTCGTAATCATTGAGACGACAAGCCATTTCATTCGTCTTCCCGTATAATTCAGTGTTAAGATTAATTTAAGAAGTGATGAAATTATTTGTTTATCGCTACAAGTTAAAGCTAGAAGATACGTTGAAATTTGCAGTCGACGTTTGATAAACACGGAAGTTTAAAGCGAAGAATAACAACGCCTAGTTTTATATTTTAACATACCTATGTTAAACAAAACCAAGACAAAAAAGATAAAACAAAACAGTGCAATGAAGCAGATCTACAAAAGACATGCATAAAGAAAAATAGGTATGCAATTCGCACATGTGGTAACCCTCAGTTATGTGGCCACAAAGTGAAGGAGATTTATAAACATAGTTTCGATAATATATAATAAATACAATTTTTGTCAAGATCGTGTTCAAGATTTTAAAATGTGTTAAATGCTTAGTCAATAACACTTACTCAGTAACACTTACTCAGTGGGGACAAGTAGCAAGGCTTCACGTGCCGTCCCTGATTTCGACTAATTGCTACAACACGCGTAACAAAAACGCGACAGGATATGATGATGATGCCTTACTCAGTAACACTCTTAAACACTTTCTGCATCTATCGAACGCGTTCGCTCAAACCCCACATCGTGGAAAGTGAAGAGTTCTTTAAGAGTTCTTACAAATTTGAACGATAAATGCAATGTCGTTTTCACTAATAACCATTTATTTGCAATAATACTTGTCTTAATTGTCTTTCAAAACAGCTTCCTAACTTACATGAGATGTCATTTATTCAACCGACAAATGAACACGTTTATGACTTGTGTATTGATTTACATACATACAACACTAGAATTAGTTGTATTACTTTTTTGTGTCAATGCGCTGTGCTTTTTGTTATTACTTTTTTTTGATAACCTTTCGAAAAGATAGTATTTCTGACGAGTCTGTTCAAACAATGTTTAATCTATGAAATTGAATACATCGCACATTTCAAGTGATTGAAAATAGTCAATTTTCCTTCAACACACATCTGATGCGCGATATATTTTGTCTACTTTGGATAGAAATGTTGTGATACATCACACAACATCACACTATCACACTCGAATGACGTAATGTCTGCAGTGTCGCATTCGTCTTTCTCCCGAAAATACTCGATGAAAACTCTCCTCACTGACAATTTAACCCATTCCGTTTATTTTTACGTCTTAATACTCAATAAATCGAGAGAAAACAGTTTGCAAAACGCTTGCAATGTCGATGCATGAACAATTATATAATATGTCACCTATAGCAGTGTAGCTAGGTTCTTAGCCAATTGCAATCGAGATTGCATAATATGCTTAATAATAGTATTTCCCATGACTTCTGAGTTCTGACTGGGAAAAGCCAAAAGTCATTTCTCACTGGATCACTGGATTGTGACACATTGTGATGTAGTGTGATGCATTGTGATGCATTGTGATGTAGTGTGATGCATTATGATGTAGTGTGATGCAGTGCTTTCACTGACAAGTGGGCAGAAAATTTAAAAAAGAAAAGAGCTTTATGTTGGTTTCTTGCTCACTTGAGCATTTGCTCTTTGAAGTAAACTACATTTGAAAACACATCACAAATTGTGCGGTTTCACTGTTTTCGGTTAAACAAAGATTAAATTTTTGCAATTAATCTTATGTGAACCAAACTTTCTTTTAAATTCTTAATCAACGTATTCTCTCTGGCTATTCCACCGTTTCTGCAAGTAAACAAAAACTTTGCATTTGCATTTATGGCGAAAGTTGGCAGTTGTCACGTTTGTAACGATATCGTGAGAATGGTGTTCACGTGATTACACTGACCTTTTCATATAGCTGGATTGTGTAGTGAATAGTTTAAAAATTTATTGATGTTATAGGCTATCGGTGTTCGACACGATTTTTGTAATGTATGGTTTAAATGTTCTTTTAGGTATTAAAATGGCTACAGGATCTCGGTATGCCTTGTTTAGAAAAACCTTTTGAGATTACACAGTTATATAGACAGGCACTCGGTTACCATGGTAACTTCAAGAAATTCCTGACTTCTGCTAAGTTTTTATGGTATGGATTGGGAAGTAAAAAGTACAGTAGATTATATCAATGTGTCACAGGCACAGTTATGAACACCAGTGTTTTCTAACCTTTACTTTACCCCTCCCATTCTTTGTTAACTCTTTCTTTGAAAGGAAACAGGTCCACCTAGAGAAAATCTAAAACTTTGGGCTTAGCGTTCACGAATACCTGACTGCACAACTTTTCTTAAATATGTTTGTAAATGTAGATCGTCCAGGTTGGTATAGTCCTGAGAAGGACTGTTTTTGTTGTTGTTGACTGACGTTTCAACAACCTTAGCGGTAGTCATCTTCAGAGTCAAATGAGGAGTTAACGTCAGGTTAGCCGTATTTGTTATCTGGTTCTTACGTCATTGTATTGTGTGTAGAGGAAATGTGTATTGTCATTGTGAATTAGTGTGAAGCGAAATGTTTTTAGTTGTGATATGTGATTTAGGTATGATGTTTTTAGTTGTAATGTGTGGGTGTCAATTGTGTATTGTCATTGTGAATTAGTGTGAAGTGTATTGTTTATAGTTGATCGTTTGTTTGTATTATGAATAAGCCGTTTGTAACGTGCCGGTAATTGCTGCGATCTGTTCAGGGGGGTTTGTTCCAAGTTGGTATACCAACTTTCTAATGTAAGCCGTTGTCTATAGTCAGTACTGTAAGTAATGCATTTTGCCGAGTCCCAGTCAATGTTGCGTTTCCTCAAATTTTACATCAACTATTTCTTTTTTAGAGTTATATACTCCAAGCTCAAGATTTACTGGAGATAGTTCATTTAGTTCATTTACTGGAGATAGTTCCATTACAGATAGTTCTTTTTGTCGTTTTCGTAGTCGTCATGCAAGACGTGAGCTCGGAGCAAATCGAAAAAATTGAAGATCTAGTGACGTTGATTAAGATGGTTGAAGAATTACAAATTTAGAATGCAAAAGTGTTGAAAAAGTCAGAAGAAAATTCTAGACTGATCAAGAATATCATTGGAATTCATGAATAGGAAAATGACTTTGCGCAGTCTTAAGGTAAACTTAGTTCTCTCTAAATTTATACCCGTGTAATTTCCTGTAAACATTGTTAGCTTAGATTAAACCAATTAAATTCATACATATTTATGTTTCACGTAAACATTGTCAGGAGATTTTTTTGTCTGTTATTGATTCATCATCACCGACAAACGTTTATTTAGTTTATAATGTCGTGTCGGTGGTGTACATTGAGGGTATAAAAAAACTGAACAGTTACGAAAACGTTGCTGTAGTTTTCAGCGTGCAAGATATGCATAAACATTTGGTGGAGTAGGAAGTTTGACTTCTAATGGTTCATCTGACTGTAAAATAGCGTAAGAATTGTGTTACCGAGAAACACTTTTGAAATAGCCTGCTCAAGAAAATGATATAGCCAAAAAGCAATTGGATAATTTTCTTCTTTTCATTTTCTGTTGTCCATTCATCACCACCTACACTGACACACGTTTATATTTTAGGTAGTGTAAAGACTGCTTTATGATCACTTTTGTTCATATTGGATATGATGTGATTGATCTCAATTAAAATTTCCCTTTTTTAGATGAAAGTGTTAAGTCTTTAAAATATTGAAATGTCTATCTTCATAAAGATAATGCTATGAATAAACTATGTTTGCATCGAACTGACAAAATAAAAAGGTCTAAAATATTCAAACACTTCATCAAAGATATTGTGCAAATACACTATTCATGAAATATTGCGAAAGAATTTCATCGAAAAGACGCCAGGAAACTGAAGGATATTTGAAATTTTCTAAATGGATATTAAAAAACTTTAATAACTTGAGAAATGAGAATGTAAAACGACATTCACGAACTGTTTTAGAAAGTACGCCGTCGTTTTAAAAGTTCTAATAAACGAGAATGTAAAATTAATACCGAAATCTTTCCTGTCAAAAGAAATTTAACATTTTTGCTAATAACTTAACTTGAAATGATAAAATTCTCAGCGAACATACAACACAAAATGAAATTGGTTTTCAATTCAAGAAGAAAAAAATCATAATTACATAAAAAATGTACACACAATCTGTTAAGTAATTATGCCATTCCTAACGTATATGGACTTTCGAAAAACAATTTGTTTCGCTCAAATCCACGACCGTAGGAAAATACATGATTGGGGGAGGGGAGGAAGGAAAGGCTTGAAATCATATGTGCATTCTATAATCCGCTGAAAGCATTGAATTTCAAAAATCAAAAGAATTAATAACGAGATACAACCACCGATTATTGAGCAAGCTACGTCCTTTAGTCTTTTTTCTAAGAACTCACTGATCGCTAAGCTACAAAGTTGACAGAACAGGTGTTCGAGTTCAAGCAGGTATTTAGTCAAACTGCACTTCATTCAATATTTTCTGTTTAATTTGTGGGACTTTGAAGCACAAGTTAGCAAAAAAGGAGAGGAAAGAAAGGATTGCTCAGCCTTTTATAGCAAGTCTTCTCACTTGACGAGATTACCCACATACCTTTGCGGTCTCCGTCATATTGACTTCCAATTATGGCCGACTCTCATGGCCAGTGAATCGACCTTTTCATAAAATGCTTTGTAATGCAGTATTTTGAATCCAAAATCTACCAAAATCGAAAGATATACGGCAAGCCGGTTGTCTTTGAGAAACTTTAGGATGTCTATAGAGGTAAGATGTCTTCAAATCGATTCCAAATCGCGTTCATAGCTACTTTGGTTTGGGTTGACTGCCATTGTCGTTGACCGATGTTCGTGTTTGATGTTTATTTAATCCCTCTGCGCAAAGGTCTCGTCACTTTTTTGGGTGAGCTGTCACACAAAGGAATACATACCGTTGTATTATCCAGGTTTGGTCATATTCTTGGGATTTGTAAAGAAATTTTGTTATTCGTAGTCGACTGTAAACAAGCTCATCAGTAATCATGTTCGATCTTTGACGTCTTTGATGTACGTTGTGATCACTTGTCATCAATTGTGTATAATCTTTATTCATTTGTAAGTGATATTATAAATAGTTGCGAATGTCGTTTACAGGGAAAAGTTCTTTTTATTTAATCGCGTTCTTTTCATCCAGACGGAATAATTTAATTACGAAATCGAAGAATTGTTTGAAACTTTTGCGATTGATTTTAACTGATTTTTAGTTGAAACTTTCAA